AAGGGCACGTGATTGTTGCTGAGGATTGTGGGTTAGGGTAAGGGCTAGATCATGGGTTAGGATTGGCACTATCCCTGTTTACATCTCGTGACTTTGGCGAAATCTGTAGTTAGCCTTAATATTTAGATCTAACCTGGGTATTACATGCGTTTAGGGGAGAGACCATTTTGTCGGGCATCCCGGTTCGATTTCCAGGAAATGTGAACTCAACCGTAATTATGGTATAACCGTGATATATTCGGACGCCTTTTAAATCGGATGGAATTGTAACCTGCACAAGTTAAAACGCGATTTTTCGTAAAATCAGGAGCTATAATCTAGGCAGTTACAATCCGATATGCGCGAATATGGAAGGAACCAAACATACATTTCAAATTTTATCAAAATTAGATGAATATTGTTACCTCTAGAGTGTCCGTAAGCTAAAAAAAAAGTGATTTTTCGTACTATCAGAGGTCATAATCGACGAAGTTACGATCCGATACATTTTAATTTCGAATTGGGAGATATTCATATATTTGAAGTTTCGTCAGTATCGGATAAAAATTGTGGCCCGATATAATTGAACGTTTTTTACAATCAAATAAAAACTGTTACTTCTAGAGGGTCCACAAACTAAAATGTAATTGTTCGTACAAACAGGGGCCATAATTCAGGAAGTAATGGTCCTATATGCGCCAATATCGACAGGAACCGGTGTCTTTCGGTAATAAACATACATTGTAAGTTTAATCAAAATCGGATAAAAATTGTGGCATCTACATGTAGAGTGTCCACAACCTTGGTATTATTATGCATTTTTTGTCAAGTTCAGCATCACAGGATTAAACCACCATAGATTGTGTTTTTATGATAAGGGACTTAAAAAAGAAATAAAATTTCATATCATTGCTGAGTAATAATCAGTCCCAATGTGGTATTTTTGTGTTCTGGTATATTTTTATTGCATTATTTTTATTACTTTATAGTATATATCCTTGTCATTTATTGATAATAAATGGCCTATTCAATGTCATATCTCCTACTGTGCATACACATGTAATTGTCCGTCGTCATGTCACGGTAAAAATATCTGTTTAATTTTACCAACCAATTTACCCAGGGACCTATAATACTGTAAGATGGCCCTGGCGACAGTGGTATGTATGCTGTACATATACTTTATATGGCTGTCTTTAGATCCGACAACCGAGTTGTAAGATGCTCTTATATATATAAACATAGAGTATTGCATTTCTAAATCGTGTAAAATAAATTTTAAAGTTATCTATAAAGAGAGATAGCCCGTGTATCACCAGTCAAACTTAAGATGATATCACTTACTTAAGATCCAATAATCGAATTACAAGATGCGTTTTTATATCAACATAGTTTAACGCATTTCTAAATTGTGTAAAGTAAATTTTAAAATTGTATATAGAGAGATATACCCCAGGTAGCGCCAGCCATACTTTAAAATGGAAATACACAGGTCTATGGAATCGTAGTCGAAATGTCGCTCAGTAATATAGTAAATTGCAATCCATAGAATCGTGACTGTTCAATTACTAAATGCCATTGAAAAAATATACTTTAAACTGATATTATGGAATAATAATACCGACTTACCTTTTTCCTAAGATGATGAATATCCAGAGAATATCGATAACGAATTGCTTACATTAAACGACACCAATGAAATGTATCTTGAAGGAGCACCAACGGTGTTTTTACTCGCGTCGGTAGCCAAAAATATAATTAAGCGAATGGCACATTTAAAAAAATGAAATGAAATAAATAATAGCTGTGTCAAAGATAAAAACTTGAAAGGAAATAAAAGTACGCGTGTGTTTTTTATAAAAGATACATTAAAAGTAACATACGAGATAGAAATTACTTATAAAAAGATGCTGAGAACACGTTTATATGTTAAGTAAACGTATATATAGTAGTATTCAATTGATCCTACACGCTTACACCTAATACTTGTACTATAAGATAGTTTAGACACAACTCGTTGATGGATTAAAGTAAAAGGGAACGTGCTTACTGTCACCAGGGCTTTACTTAAAACTAGATAACACTGAATCGTCAAGGGTCATCAAACCAAAATATTGACATATCAGATGGGTTGAATTGAGGTGTCAGGGATATATATTTTTTGTTTGCATATATCAATAGTGGTGTATCCAAGGTATATAGACAACTGATTAAAGACATTTTGTTTGTAATTCTTTGAATTAATGTCTCATTGCTTCATTTTTAGCGAAATAAGAACCCTTGCAAAGTAAAATACTGTGAACAGTGTATATAACAGAAACATAGGTCCAAACATGGTTCGTGGGGTCAAGGTGGCTATGTGGGTAAGACTTAGCCTGGAGGTCAGTTGTTCGATCCCTGCATTGGCCGAGAAAGTTCATCCAGATTTTCCGGCGTGGTTCCCCCTTGTCAGTGATGCAGAACGGAGGGCCTGGCAAGGACAACTGTCTAGTCGTTCGGATGGGACGAAAAACCGAGGTCCTGTGTGCACGTAAAAGATCCCTTGACAGTTGGAATTTGATATAAGAGTAGGCCGTAGTGCCGCTGTCCGGCCAAAATTCCCCTCGTAGCACACTGTATGGCTTATGCCCGTTTTCATTATCCCGGTTCGGAGCAGAACAGTAGGACGTTTTAAAAACCCCATTTCATTCCATTTCACCAAACATGGTTCAGTTCCGAATCGATGAATCCAAACCGGGAGATTATTTAACGTTGCTAATTTGATTTTGTGAGATTAAGATAAAGAGGTGGCCTTTCTTGATATAATATGTAGTTAAAAATTAGATAACGGACAATGAAATTATCGAAAATGTCAGTCAAATTACCACTATATTCTGAGCGGCGTTATTCATGGCTGAAGGTTACGTATATACGATAATAAACAAAGTGTTGAGTTTCCACTTTTAAATTAAATTATTAAATGACGACCATGTTTCAATTCGACAGTTGATTATGGGCTTGTCATGTTAATAAATGTGTAATGAAGTCAAAAGAAAGATCTTCTATGGGAAGATTTGGTGTATTCCCACGACGCAGAGCGTGACCAAAATTAATCCTTCCCACAAAGGTGCAGATATCAACTTGTCGGCTTTCGTTTGAAGAGAGGCATGTTGTTATTAGGACCGAGTTAACTTATTAAAAGATTTTATAAATTTATGTTCACTCTGAATTTTAATCACCAAAAATATTATTGGCAACTAATGATGAAAATCATCAAATCATCCAAGTATTCAATATGAATCTTAATCAACAATTGGCGACTAATGATGAATATCATCAAATCATCCAAGGAGTGTTCACATATTCGCTCACCCTCAATCAGATCCAAAAATAACTGAATTGGCCGACTACGTAACAAACCAATGGGCGAGGGTGAATATGCTACTCATCAGTGGTACCACTACCACACAGGATAGCATTCAAGGATCAGGAAGCTAATTGTTAAAGCTTACCCGAATGTTTTTGAAATGATCGCATTTTTACAACAAGAGCAAAATATTAATGACATTAGAATCGTACAGTATGCCGGGGGACAATAACCACGAAGGAAGAGACATAAATATACCCGAATCCAAAGCCAGCTCCAGGAATTAAAAAGTAGACACGAAGAAGAGGAATTAACTTTAGTCGAGTATTTAGACAGGGTGTCTTATTTGGCGAAATTAAATTAATTTGTTTTTATTTCTTAAAGTTATATGCCAAACTTGTTAAAATGTTAGTTAATTATACACATTGGGGATTATGAAAGTGTAAATTATTATCATAACAATCTATAACTCCATTGTTACATTTTTAATACATTTTAATCCCTGAAAGCTGGATTCCCACGAAGGCGTCGAAAACGACCTCCTTTTATCAGTTACGGTCAATAACTGCGCCTTCGTTGGAATAAACCGAAGATTTAGCCCTTACGCATAATTCATCTTTAACAAAATGTTAAAAATATTAGCCTATAGAAATTTGACAAATACATAAAGTACATCGTTACTTTAAACTTGAAGAAAAATAAATCTTGGTTGATTGCCAAAATCCGAGACTTACATGAAGCGTCCTGAGATATTTGATAGTATAACGAAATATAAAAACGACGTATCGTTACTTTAAATTTGAAGAAAAATAAATCTTGGTTGACACCCGAAATACGAGACTTGTGTGAAGAGTTGGGAAAAGTGTGCGCCTACGTCTGTGTTCACTCCGTTCCCAATTCGCGGTAAAGGGGTTTGGCGGAAGAGAGTCGAGGGGTATTATTGTTATGCATCTAGTGGCCGTATCTTTGTCTTCTGTTTTTCTAGTTATGCGTGGTGCGGTCCTCCTGCACTTACTAGCTGGTGATGACCTGGCTATGAGAGAGAGGGGCGGGGTTTAACGTCCACTCAACACGAACTATGTCATTTCGGGACTAACGTATGTTTCAATTGTATTTCAATAATTCGCTTGCGCGTTGGCGGGAGATAACCCACATACACAAAGTAAAGCGCACGCGTTAAACAATTCGGTCGACAAGGCCACGAACTTCACTTTGTGTATTGTTGTGTTTCTTTTTGAATGAGTGAATGAGACGGGATTTAACGTCCTACTGTTATGCTCCGACTGAGCTATGAAGACGGTCATACTCCATACAGTGTGCTATGAGGGAAATTTTGCACGGACAGCGCCGTTATGGCTTACATTTATATCGAATTCCAACTGCCAAGGGATCTTTTACGTGCACGTCAATGTGTACACGGGACCTCGGTTTTTTCGTCCCACCCAAACGACTATACTTTGTCCCTTGCCACGGCGTTTCTTTTCATATCGTAACAAATATGGTAATTTGTTATTTACCTTAATAATTTTAGCCGATTCATTTTGTTTGTGGCCACACAGTACAATATAGGATGTTGCCCTGTACTTAAAGAGTTAGAATAAATTACGTTATCTGTGGGAACCTAACATTTGTTATAGATAATGATCCAATATATCTACTACTATATACGTGTACTTCAAGCTTAGATTTATTAAAAGAATAATAGCCATTTTAAAATAATGCTCTACGTGTTTATACTCTTGTGTTCTGCCATTGTTACGGTAATTATAAAAAGTTTTGTGTCTAATTATACCCCTTACTGTCATTTAAGATGATTGGTTTAAGGCTTTCTTATATAGATATCTTTGATCTTATTATTAAGGTAATTGAAAGAAACCTTCCTACCTGAACAACCAGGTGTAGTCAAGGTGAACCTATTATTATTTGGGTTTAAACTGATTTATGTATGACGTTAAATGATGTCATTAAATTAATTTCTACCTGTACTCTTATTTACTTAAAAGATATCGTTTCCGATTTGATTTATTTAAACACCGCTATTTCTTTACAGCTACCTGGCCTTTTTGTACCTGAAATACAACCAACAAACATGTTGTTAGTCACGTGAACTCCTCCAATGAGTATAGTGACATCAGGTGTTCAATAACAATCACTACTAACAGAATGAGTAGGGTCGCCTGTCCAACCTCGTGGGTTTGCTCCGGGTCCTCCGGTTTCCTCCCACTGCTAAAGACCCCTATGCGCAAGCGAATTATTGAAATAAAATTAAACCATATGATAGTCCCGAAATGACCTAGTTTGTGTTGAGTGGACGTTAAACCCTCTCTCTCTCTCTCTCTCTCTCTCACTAAAAGAATAATGCCGTATTTTGTACAGAGATTTCAGAAGCCGATAGATACTGGGTAGAAGATAGTACCTCTACCCAAAGGTCACCCGGACAATCCAGTAGTACTACAAACGATGGTGGGTGGGGGTTGGTGGACGAATAGTTTAACGTGTGCGCTTTAGATCATAAGGTCTGTCATTCAGTCAAGTGGCGCGGGGTTCTTCCCACTGCTAAAGACCTCTACGAGTAATCGAATTATTGAAATAAATTGAAACATAATGAAGTCCCCATTTTTCTCTAGCTCTTGCTACAAAAGGTTGTTGGCAAGAGAAAAAGGTTCAAACTCTATATCAAGTATATATTGTTGTGTGATTATTTTGTGATTGTTTTTTTTTTGATAATCATAAGTTAAAAGATCGTAAGTTAAAAACTGGACAACATCTCGCCATTGCCCATCTAAGGTTAAGGTGCACACTATATTAATCCAGTTTACTCTCTCTCTCTCTCTCTCTCTCTCTGTAATAATTTCTGTGTATACTGTATATGATGTATTCTAGTATACTATAAATTAATTTGTTTTGTCATGTTTCCGTGTTTACAGGTTTTTTTTATCACCCAACCAGGATATAGAGTGTGGATATATTTTTATACACTTATTCACAATGCAATGGCATTTTGTAAACAGATTTGAACAATCCAACCGTTTCAGCGGGATACCTGAACGCATACATCAATAAATTCGAATGCTTGCTACTTATTTAGAGACCTTCCTAATCCAGCTGTTGAGCTATTGTGCATGTATATACATGTTAAGTAAATCATCTCTGTGTAAGCATGTACTTAAACCAAGATTTACAATTGACTACTGTGTAGCGGGGGTGTAGGGGGGACGCGCTAACATGTGCTCTTTAGTGGTGTGGTAACAATGATAGTCCTGAAATGACCTAATGCGTGCCGAGTGGACGTCAAAGTGTCTGCTCCCAATGTCTCTCTCTCTCTCTCTCTCTCCCTCTCTCTCTCTCTCTTGGAAGTCGAAATAAGGGTTGGTCTGGGCAAAATGTCCCTCATAGCATACTACATAGCATAAACCGGCCTTGATTATCCCGGTCGATGCTGAAAAGTAGAGACTAAATTCTAATTTCATTTCATTCAAATCTCTTGGCGAAAATATAGCAAAAACCCTCTGTGGTGGCAGCTTCCCTTATTTAAAGATACATTATGGGAGATTCGATAACGAGTTGGCAGTTCTCACTATAATAGTTAAAAACTAGATAATGTAAAGGCAATTTGCTGAAAATTTCATTCAAATTGATCCACTATGAACCGAGAACTAAGCGGTTGAAATTTCCGGCTAGCCTTGGTCATTATTACTAAAGTCAGTACGATAAACAGCATAGTCTCGATTATCAATTTAATCGTTAAATCGTGAAGGAAAGTTATGCAGTAAATCGGCTAGCGATACCATCTAGACTTGATTATGGCCTGGATAGGTTACTATTAATGTCTAATTAATAATTTAGATAACATTTCAGGCCAAAAGAACGACCTGCAATAGACAGATTTAGCTCTTGCATAATGTATGTTTAACCTAATGGTTTAACTAGGGCTACCTCAAGGTATTTATGCTCAAATATCTTTTCAGGGCAATGGTTTGTATCTTTTACCGCCCTATCCGCCTGGTTCAGGACAATGGTGTTTTGACAGCAGGGTATGCAACATGGACGAATGTTGTATGCCAGTTTATGAAGACGATGGACCACGTGGGCGAAGAGGAGCGGCACCACCAGGAAAATGTTTTATAAGTACACCTCCTCTTCAAAGTAATTATCTATTTATTCTCACAACTTTTAGAAGGACCCATAACTTGTTATATGTTTGATTCCTTCATCTGAACGTGAAAGCAATGGTGTCTCAGTGAGTAAGGCGCTGGCTAACTGACCAGTGGTTAGATCTGCAGATTTCGTTATGGTCACGGGATGTAAATAACCCTAACCCACGATCCTCGGCAACAATCACGTGCCCTAACCCTGTTTACGCCCCCATATTTAGATCTGACCCTGATCAGGAGGATCAGGGCTCGATCTCTGCATATGTTGACTGAGAAAGGTCCTCGGGATTTTCCAACCTAGTTTTACCTTGTCAGTGCGACAGACCAATAGTGGTGTGCACGTAAAATAACCCTTGCCAGTTGGAATTTGACGAAAAGTAGGCGGAAACGCCGCTTTCCGGTTCTCGTAGCAGACATCATGGCGTATTCTCATACCCATTAATTCGATTGGTGTTGAATAATATGACGTTAAATATGTTAACGATGTTTAGCCAGCTGCCTTCCGAGCAATCGTCTGCTTCCAAATAGGGTATTCTTTCAGACAGTTCAGCAAACCGTAAAACAGAAAATGCAATTTTTTTATTATCCAAGGCTGTGCTGTGTCATGGTCTTCAGTACGCGAGGATTTTGCTATCTTAAAACTTGTGATTGGACAATAACCAGTTCTACTCTAGGTTAGCCCTTCTTCCGACTTGACGGCCGAGATATATTCTAGAATGGCCTGGAATTATCAAGGAATGTCATTGGCTTAAAAGATTCACTACATGAGATACATGTGGTGAATTGAATCTATATTTTATCAAAACCAAATTTCCTTTCCCCTCAATTAAGCGAAGAGTTTGACCTTCTGACTCTGAGTTGAATTATTGGAGATGATTTTTTTGTATATTATAGGCATGTGTACGCTGTACGCTAAAAAAAGGGCTGTAACCCGTAAATGTCATGATTCTGATGATTGTGCCGATAATGAATGTTGTACGACATGGGTGGAACAAGGACCCATAGTAGGCAGAGAGGTGTTTGAGGGAGTCTGTGAAATACTCGGCCATCAAAATTCTGGTAAACTTAATCGAGTCTACTCGGGCCTTTCCGTTCATTTCCGGAGGAATTGATTGTGAAATTGAATTTACAACGATGATTTGCATTTAACTGTATATTTTAGACTAAATAGAAATATACTTACTGGGTACTAAGTAAAGTTGCCCGGCAAAGAACAATATGTCCGCAGTAACCAAAATCGTCAGGGGAGTCCATGAAGGTTCTCGTACCGCAATCTAAAAATATCCCAAAAATATATTAGTTTATATTTTCGTGAAGAATGCCCCTGTACAAGTATGGGGTTACAAGGTTTAATTGACGTCACATTTCTTCAAACGTTTAAAAATCCCTTTTTAGGTAGCTCTTTAACGTGATTTCTAAAAGTTGATACAGTAATTTTTTTTTATAAAATTTACATACATTCTAATTTTAACATGTAAGATTTCATAGTATACTTTAAATTAGTTGTACCAACCGACTGGTGTCATTTTACGGATTATGTATGTGTTATATTTACTCTAACCAAGACCGTTGTGGTTGTGATCGAATACCAGAGTAGACCGAGCTGGGCCTTGTTTCTCGAAATCTTAACTAAAGACAAAACCCAAATTTCAGTAGATACTTCAATTTTGATTGGCTAAGCACTAAAATCAACCTAATATTATCCAATCAAATTACTAAAATTTGGATTTTATCTTAGTTATAAAATTTCGTGAAATAGGACCCAGATATTTAAAGTCTGGTTCCAGTTTGTTAGGGGTGTCGCCAGAGATTATGTGTGTGCAGTCCTTCTGGTAGGACGACAAACCGAGGTCCCGAGTACAAATTGGCAGTTTTAATTCGAATAAGAGTAAACTGAATCACCGTTGTCCGTGTAAAATCAACCCGCATTGCACACCTAAGTATTGAAAAACATTTATCATAATATGTTAGTCTCAACATGACCCACGTATTGTGTTTGATCTTATATTAATTCTTATATAACAGAATGTTATCCGGGAGATCACGCTAATGGTACTAATGGTAAACCTGATGGTATTGTACCAAGTTGTCCTTGTGACGTTCCTTTTACATGTATACCAATAGACTCAGTTGATCACCATGGCGGTCTAGGTAACAATTTCTTTTGCAATGCCTTCTTTCTTTCTTTGTTTCTTTTCTTTTTTTTCTTTGTTTCTTTCTTGATTTGATATTTGTTTCTTTTTTTTTCTTTTTTTTATGGGGGGGGGGGGGGGTCACGTGGCTAAGTGAGTAAGGCGCTGGCTCGCTAGCCTGGAGGTCGGGTGTTCGATCCCTGCATTGGCCGAGAAAGTTCATCCAGATTTTCCGGCGTGGTTCCCCCTTGTCAGTGATGCAGGGCGGAGGGCCTGACAAGGACAGCTGTCTAGTCATTCGGATGAGACAAAAAACCGAGGTCCCGTGTATATATTGGAATGCACGTAAAAGATCCCCTGGCAGTTGGAATTCGATATAAGAGTAGGCCGTAGCGCCACTGCCTGGGCAAAATTTCCCTCATAGCACACTGTATGGCGTATGCCCGTCTTCATTAGCCCAGTATAGGAGCAGAACAGTAGGACGTTAAACCCCATTTCATTTCATTTTTTTTCTTTTTTGCAATGTCTATTTTCTGTCTTGTCCGCAGGTTTATCTTGCACTTACTATTATCAATATTGCCTATGATTCACTGATAATCTGTAACTGTGACGATAGATCATGTTTTTGTGTAGGGGGTTCCGTGGCTGAATGGTTTAACGTGTGCGCTTTAGATCATAAGGTCTGTCATTGATTCAGTTGGCTTTGTTTCGAGCCCCTGCTTACAATTGTTTTTTATAAGCTATGATTCCATCACTGTTTTGTGACTGTGACAATGGATCCTGTTTTTGTTTAAGATTCTTGATCATTTCTACGGTTTCAGTCCCTCGGAGAAAGGTCGACATTTAACCATCCTAGCGTTTCATCACTTATTCAAATGCTATGACCAAAATAATACAGTTATACAAACATAACTAACTTTTTCCGGGGTAGGTTTCAAATTCCCAAAGACAACCAATTATTTTGGAAAAAAATCAAAAAAAAAAAAACAGGACCATGATCGTTTAGGAGACGTATAATATTATAAGTAATGTTATGATGTAGTCAAGTTGGTTTTATTTCATGGCCACTATACGACGTATTATTGCTTTAAGTTTGTATAACTGTATACCGTTTTGTTTGTTTCCGATGTTTGTTTTATGTAATCTGTATATCGCTTTGTTTGTTTCAGGTGTTTGTGGGTAACTGTGTAAATGGAGGAGGCTGACCTCATTCACAGGAGTTTAAATCTGTATATGTTTTACCAATATTATGGATAAATATGGCAGCTACCGGACTTAACGCTTGTTCGAGTGCCAAATAAAAGATTATTGATTATGCGATTTTTTCCACAAAAATCTACCCAAATCCACCATTACTTCAACTCACATCACATTTTTGATAATATGCCGTTTTTTTTTACAAAGTGACTATTGTTACAACGAGTCTGAGCCAAGTTTAGAACGAATTCCAAAATGGCTGCCAATCTCCCCAACACCAGCTTTGAAAAAGGAGCAGTATTTTCAACGTTTTCAGAACTAAAGGAAGGGTTAGAGTTAGGACTATTTTTACGACTATTCAGTTTTTAACTTCGCCGATGGAGGCCTGTGAAAGCATCGTCGTAACAATAGCCTGAGGACTATTTTTACGACTCGTCGTAACAATAGCCACTGCCTTTTTTTATGCCAAATAGTCATTTTCGATGTGATTTTAAAGCAAGTTCGAGTCGTAATCAAGGGACATAACTCGTGAAAATCACAAATCTACCCAAAGCCACCATTATTTCAATATCACATTTGAACACAAAAACGAAAAGATTTTAAATTAAAAATGAAAATTCGGCATTTAGAACAGTAAATTATCTATAATCGATATAGTTTATTGTGATGTGCGTTGAAATAATGGTGGATTTTGGTAAATTTTTGCGTAAATCGCGCTACCGGATTTTTTGGGGCCAAAAATTAAAAATTATGTTACAAAAAGGAAATTTTCTGTAGAAATTATTAGAACAGCATATTTGTGGTCCTGGTTTGTCGTCCCATTGAAACAACCAGGCACGGTTCCTCGTCAGACCCTCCGTCCTACACCACTAACATATGAATTCGAGATGGTCGCCAGTCTAACCTCGTGGGTTTTCTCCGGGAAGCAGAAATCGTTTAATCTTAAATTTCGGTAAGTTGTGGTATCCATGTTTCTGTATACTTGTATACACATACTTAAATGAAGATAAACTAAATTATTTCCATGTAATGTAGGACTACAGCGAAAAGTTCTAATTATTTATATAAGACTACAATGGTCTCGCATCTTTGAAAATCCCGATCGCTAGTTTTTGACATTCTCTGCGAAATGAAACTCTAATTTAAAAAAAACAAACTCGTTCTTGTTTGGCTCTACTACTCACAGATAAGAAATAAACACAATGACTTGGTTGTGACGTGAATGTTTGATACAGCTGGATAGGTAAGGGTTGGTGTGAGGTGCCAGGGTGCGCCAACCCCTTTCCTTTCTATTGGCAAAGATTTAGGAATATGACTTCACTATACAACAAAAACACCTCTCCGGATTACATTGTTTTTATACAATATTAACCTCGTCAGTTTAATTGTCTATTCTCTATAAACTTGCAATATCCCTATTCTTCATTTATTTATCTTTCCTCGAGCTTCCCGTAAAGCTATACTAGCCCAGCTATTCTGGACTGTCAAACAGCATATTTGTAATATTTGTGGTCCTGGTTAGACCTGGTTTTTCGTCCCATCGAAACAACCAGGCACGGTTCCTCGTCAGACCCTCCGTCCCACGCAACTAATATGAGGACAAGAGAATGGAAAAACCTAAGGATCTTTCCCGGCCAACACTGGGATCAAACCTTAAACTACTTGATCCATTATTATACATGTACAGCCTTACGTTTGCTTATATCAGCAAATTTCTTGAAACTGTGAGGCAGCCATGGATTTTGTTTCCCCCAAAGATTTACCCAAAACCACCATTATTTCTACGTATTATATCGCAATAATTTATATTATCCATATTTGATAATATGTCGTTCTTTATGCCAAATTGTCAATTTTAATGCGATTTTAAAGCAAGCGTGAAGTCGTAATCAAGGGACATAACTTCGTGTAATGCACCTATCTAACCAAAGCGACCACCATTATTTCAGCATCACATTTGGACCAATCTGTTTCACAGAGAATTACGAGTCTTCTAATGTTGATCAGTGTGCATTTGGACACACAAAAACAGTACGATTTTAAATTAAAAATGGCAATTTGGCACATAGAACAGTAAATTATCTATAATCGATATAATTCATTTTGATGTGCATTGAAATAATTTTTTAGCTACGATTGGGTACCTGTAGTTTCACCAGGTCAACTTAATTTATTTATTAATGCATGTAACATCTTAAAGGAGCTAAATCGCTAACATTTGGGACCTAGAAATTGACAAGAGTAGGTCACAAAACATATAATACTGCAGTATGAATGTATATAAACTGATTTACATTCAATGGTTTCCGTTTTTACTCCAATTTCAAATCAGTTATGTTCGGCGAAAAAAGCCAGCAGTCTCAAGCGAGTGCAAATTTCTAGCGTCTGGTTATTCCAGTTTCCATACGCCGTTTGATTTGGTGCAATGTGTCTAACCTCGTCCCTCGAGTCTCTTCATACAACTGGGACTGAAGCGCATTAAGGTACACGATTCGTGTACCAATGGTAAAATGTTTATTTTGTCTTAAATATTGGATATCAAAAGCCCATCTTTTTCCGGTAAGATCACAACATGAATGTTGATTTAATTTGACAAATAAATCGTGTTTTCAATGTTGAAGATTTTGGATGATATTGTGTTAGAGACTTTGCTACTTTAAACATAGATAATTTTATACTATTAGGACTATAATTAAACACATGACCCATGTAGTGACACAACTTTCGTTTATCTGCAGATATTGTCAATAAAATTAATCAAGCGGTGTTTTTAACAAAATGGGAATGGCCATGCATAATTACGGTGCATTTGTCATGAGCGACCCATAGGGCCTACAGATTGCCTACTTGTGATTGTAAATTGTCTAAGTCGCGTATTTGGATTGGCTGTTTAACACGACACATATTTAGCCCCGAATTCATGACGTTAAGACGCCAAACCTGTTCCGTTTTAAAATGTAGGGCAAAGCCAGCTTTAAAAACTTCGATTTAAAAGAGATGATTATGATTTGTACCCGTGGCTGCTGTGATCATAGGCCTATGATGTGACATAAATGTTATAAATATAACAATATTCAATCGTTGTTTTGGAGAATAAATGGACAGTTTTGCTTATTGAATTTCGATGTTTGATTTACATCAGATTCTCCAGAAGGTATATAGGCTAGTGCCATCTCTTATCTCGAGACACACAGGACACAGGGTCGAGAGATGAGGCTTTGTTTAACTTTTCTCTGCCCAGTGACTCCCAATGTTAAATCCATGACATTCCTTTGCCTTTAACATCTTTTTTTTTTAACATTCCCATGATCTTTATCAGTATAACAACACATGTTCTTAAAATATTGAAAGGTCTGGGGCCTGTTTCACGAAATTTTAACTAAAGATAAAATCCAAATTTTAGTAGATAGGCCTACTTCAATTTTGATTGGCTAAGCACTAAAATCAATCTAATATTATCCAATCATATTACTAAAATTTGGATTTTATCTTAGTTAAAATTTGGTGAAACAGGCCCCAGCTCAAAAAGTGACATATTTTATTTTAGAAGGCGATAAGGATAAATTACTAGTCTGAATCCATAACAGGTCTGGAATTATATGGTGGCCGATAGAGGCCATGTAAAATCTCACCCATTGTATTAACACGACACCACGACAGTATTTCGACATGACATGACTAAGTAAACTCTTAGTGCTATCGCTTTCACCATCTAAACGCTCCAATTTCAGACTCAGGGACAGACCCTAGGGGGAAAAATGTTTGATACGAAACTAAAGTATAGCTCTACAAAGTACCATTCCAGCTCATGCGCAGTTCATTCAACAATGGCGGCTCCTTCGAAGCTGGTGTCAATGTAAACAATGCAAAGATATAAGCTGTTGAAATCCGGTTTATCAGGTTAATTACTTTGCAATGGTTGAAATGTGTTTAAGACATCCGTGTCCCTGTAATTAATATGCCTTATGCCTGACCATTTCAGAAATTGCGGACAGACAGTGACTTTGAAAACTGGCTATGGAGTATTCTGTATTCAGCAAATAAAAGAAATCTGTCCAGTGACTGGCAATGTTGTTAGGACGTGGGTACAGCGATAGTCAGAAGAACTTAGAAATCAAGTAGAAATCGATAAGTGACACTGGGATGCAAGCAAGCATATAATTAACTAATGCATGATTTTAACCATGGACAAGGTCCATGTTTTAACCCAAAAGGACCCAAAAGTCACTTCAATAAATAAGATCGTTTGCTCTTTTTAGTCTTTAGGCTAGCAAGCAGGGTTGTAAAAATCCACTAGCCCAACGCCCGGGGCTACCAAAAATAACTTACGGGCTAGTGATCTATTTAGCCGTACTAGTCCTGGGCTAGTGCCCTTTTATTGGTTTGTGACTCAAACTAGTGACGATATAGATAAATAAACTGTAAAATATCCCACATTTATTCCTCATATTCCAAGGAAAACTCAATCATAAGAATAGATTTTCTGTAGTATTTACTGTACCCCTTCTATTCCCTTTTATTCATTCATAATTGACATTTCATTTCTCCATCTTGCACGCCTTGACAGGTCATGTATAAGGTCATGGGGATCACGTGGCTAAGTGGGTAAGGCGCTGGCTCGCTAGCCCGGAGGTCGGGTGTTCGATCCCTGCATTGGCCGAGAAAGTTCATCCAGATTTTCCGGCGTGGTTCCCCCTTGTCAGTGATGCAGGACGGAGGGCCTGACAAGTACAGCTGCCTAGTCCTTCGGATGAAACGAAAAACCGAGGTCCTGTGTATACATTGGAATGCACGTAAAAGATCCCTTGGCAGTTGGAATTCGATATAAGAGTAGGCGATAGTGCTGCTGCCCGGGCAAAATTTCCCTCATAGCACACTGTATGGCGTATGCCCGTCTTCATTAGCCCAGCATAGGAGCAGAACAGTAGGACGTTAAACCCCATTTCATTTCATTTTTTTTCTTTTTTGCAATGTCTATTTTCTGTCTTGTCCGCAGGTTTATCTTGCACTTACTATTATCAATATTGCCTATGATTCACTGATAATCTGTAACTGTGACGATAGATCATTTCGTATAAGGTCATGTATAAACCAGTTGAAATCAGGTTGATTTAAAAACAAAAGACTCACTTATACTTTATATTAGATTAGTTCTGACATAAATATTTGAAAGCTTACCTTTGTATTTTTAAATACAAGATAATTTTGATTATTTAACATGTCGGGTATTTCCAAAGAATTAACTACACGTATTCATTACACACACGCCATGATGAATGGTTCCAGTGACCTGTGTGTCATCAACTTTGACCCTATCGGCACACAGCATGGCACTCGAGTGATAATATAAACAATTTTACTATCCTGTCTATTTTAATATTATATCGGCACATTAAACTGATTTGTTTCATTTTGAGACTCTTTATTATAGAGTGACCAGGTAAATAAATATGGTAAAACAATTAATTTGTCAATCAGTCGAGGCTATCTCATGCTTTACAGTAAGTGCTAATAATAACGTAACGTATACAAATCTTCGAGCGGGAAGGATGTTAATTTACCGTGATATATTATAAATGACATGTGCTATATGAAGTATTTACATATGGTCTTTAGTGAAAGAAAACATTGTTGTGGCTACCATTCCTGGTTTTGAAGGTCAGATATGATATGAAAACGAATATCGGTTTGTAGGTTTTTTTAACCGTTTCACCTGTGCAACCGAAGTGTGAATGGTTAACCGAGTAGCCGTATACATCCTTAATTATTTGGCAATCAAGTCTACGATCTTTATTAAAAACGATAGGTTGGCAGGCAACAAGACATATGCCCAAATATTGAAGATTAAATCTTGTACCTTGTCAAACTATGGACTAGTGGATATTAATGCCGGGCTAGTGCCTGACAGTAGACTACTAGCCTCTGGGCTAGTGGATTCAAAAAATTTTTTACGCCCCTGCTAGCAAGTAGCTAAAATATTCCATGCAGCATAAATGACAAGCCTAAAAATAAGCAACAGATAATTCTTATAAGGACTAATTCTGGCCCTTCATCATCGATCTTTGTATACATGTAAACAACCCAAATCCCAGAATTTATTATAGATATTACCATAATTCATAGAAAAGCAAATTTGTATAAGCTTAATTAATGTATCCTAGTTCAGCTTTGAACTATTATGTATCTTATGCAAAAAAAAGTTAATTTCGTTCAGATAGTTACAGTATGTTACCAAACATTCTAATACTAAAAATGATTGAAATCATATCACAGAGCTTCATGAACTGGTTCTCCACATATCTAGAGTAATTATATGTACATGTAGGTCAAATATTTCTCAGACAAAGTACTGTATCGCTATGATTATTTGTAAGTGAAAAATTTTTCTGTTCCAGAAATCTGTACGGTACCTTTGTGTTAATTAAAATTAACAGGCTTAATATTAAATCAAGATGGACAACTATCATGTATTAGAGATTATAGGAGAGGGCTCATTTGGTAAGGTCTACAGTGGAAGAAAAAAATACACTGGACAGGTCAGATTTCAATTAGTTATTATTATTATTAAAATGTTTTATATATTTATATATAGTGCCATTTCCACAAAGAGTGCTCAAAGATGCTTTACAATAAACAAATGGTAAAAACATGAATGCATGAAGTAAAAAGATCACAAATGTTTAAAATGAAAAGATCACAAATGTTCAAAATGAAAACATCACAAATTTATGTTCAGAATGAAAATATCACAAATTTATGTTCAAAATAAAATTGTCACAAATATAAATTGACAGTGACAAAGGCAGCTAAAAAGAAAATAGGGTACAGTTATAGAATAATACATATAATAAGTTATGGATTGTAATTTTTTCAAATGGTGTTTGTTGAGTGCTGATTACGAATGTTTCCTTTTTAGATAGTTGCTCTGAAATTCATCCCTAAAGTCGGAAAATCAGAAAAAGAATTACGAAGTTTGAGAAGAGAGATTGAGATTATGCGAGGATTACATCATGAGAATATTATAGAGATGTTGGATAGTTTTGAGACTAATAAAGAGGTTTGATTATTCCTTTATTCCTTTCGCTAAATTATAGATCAGCTGTGTTTGTCCGTCATATGCAAAATACATTTTTTTCCAATATTATTTCCATCCAAAAATGAACAATAAATATATCATAGATTATTTTAGTAATTGATAGTTATAGTGAATTACATTAGGTGGATTTGGATTGTTATTATACACGTACATGTATAACGTTTTATTTGATATTGTTCTAGGAGATCTTCAACTTTCTTCCATATTATGTATTAATTGTTATTGAAGGTTGTCGTGGTAACAGATTATGCTGAGGGTGAATTATTTCAAATTCTAGAAGATGATGGAAATCTTCCCGAAGAACAGGTTAGAATACTTTAATGGTTAAAGGTTTAATTTTAGGAGAAATATAGTGGGAATTAGTTTGATATTATAACATATAAATATAAATAAAATGTAATGGAGTTTAACGTCCTACTTTTTAGCACCGACTGGGCTAATCAAGACCGGTATACACCATGCAGTGTGCTATGAGGGAAATTTTGTCCATACAGTGGCTTTAAGACTTACTTTTATTTCGAATTCCAAATGTCAAGGGTTCTTTTACGTGCATTCCATCGTGTACACAGGACCTCAGGTTTTTTTTTATCCTATTCGAATGACTAGACAGCTAGTCACTACATGTAAATAACATTTCTTATATTCTTTTAGGTTAAAACTATTGCCTGTCAACTTGTGTCAGCTTTATTTTATCTACATTCACATCGTATACTGCATCGTGACATGAAACCACAGAATATTTTATTAGGAAAAGGAGGTGTAGTTAAATTATGTGACTTTGGTTTTGCCCGGGCCATGAGTTTTAATACTCTAGTTCTCACCTCAATAAAGGTAAGCTACAAGTTATCTTTAGATGGGGGGTTGGATGGCTGAATGGTTAGCGTGCGCGCGCTGTATCAAAGTCTGTCATTGAGTCAACTGGCATGGTTTTGAATCCCCAGTTGTATGTGGCAAGGAGTAGGGTCGCCTGTCCAGCCTCGTAGGTTTTCTCCGGGACCTCCGGTTTCCTCCCACTGCTAAAGACCCCTACGCGCAAGCAAATTATTGAAATAAAATCAAACCATATGTTAGTCCCGAAATGACCTAGTTTGTGTCGAGTGGACGAGTGGACGTTAAACCCTACTTCTCTCTCTCTCTCTATCTTTAGATATTGACTTGATCTGTTCTTGTTACACTCAGAATCAACATCCCTAGCATCAAAGAATCCATCAGTAAAATAGATGATCTCTGCTGATGTTTCATTCATTGTTTGAGGGGTTGGATGGTTAGCACGTGCGCGCTGTATCATAAGGTCTGTCGTTGAGTCAACTGGCGAGGTTTCGTTTCCCCGATTGTACGTGACAAGGAGTAGGGTTGCCTGTCCAACCTCGTGGGTTTTCTCCGGGTCCTCCGGTTTCCTCCCACTGCTAAAGAACCGCAGCAAGCGAATTATGCTAATAAAATTGAACCATGTTTATATCCCGAAATAATGACCTCGACCTCTCTCTCTCTCTCTCTCTCAATTGTCTGATTACCATATTAAGCCGTGACATTAGTAAAGTTATAGAAAGCTATTAAAATGTAAACTCATTAATTTTTAAATTACAGGGAACACCATTGTATATGTCTCCCGAACTTGTAGAAGAAAAACCTTATGATCATACTGCTGATTTATGGTAAGAAAAGATACAATTCACTGGACACAAGCATTACTTCCTATAGGCTATATCCAAACAATATCTGTTGCTGGAAACAGCATATCTTACGAACTATGGAGGGAAAACTGTATTCACTGGACATAACCATTACTTCCTATTGGCTATATCCAAGCAGTATCTGTTGCTGGAAACAGCATATCTTACGAACTATGGACGGAAAACTGTATTCACTATCATGAATTTTAAGAACTGAGAAATGGGATTTAATGTCTTCCGACTAGGCAGTGTCCTATGAAGGAAATTTGCCCTGATAGAGGCACTATGGCCTACGTTTATTTCAAATTCCAACTGTCAGTGGGTTTTTTTATGTGCAAGCCAATCTGTCATGGGACCTTTGGACAGACACTTCAAATCAAATAAACGATGCATTTTCCTAGATCAACATAAAATATCCCATGTGCATGTATAAATTGTGTAAAACAATATTATTATGTTTATTCTAGATATTTTGTGAAACTGTATTTTCAGGGCATTAGGCTGTATAATGTATGAGTTATTTACCGGTACTCCACCCTTCTATACTAACAGTATATTCCAACTAGTTAATATGATTATCAAAGATCCGGTCAAATGGCCAAAAAATATGTCTCCTGCATTTAAAAGTTTTCTTCAAGGGTTACTGAATAAAAACCCTAAACAAAGATTAGCCTGGCCACAGTTACTGCATCATCCTTTTGTTGCAGAAGGTGTTAAAGGTATTTAAACCAACATTTTTCATGTAATCTATACATTATATATATTTGTGACTGTCGTTTGTCGATCTGTCCTTTTGGTCTGTGTTGGCGATCACACTAGGCCTGCCACGAGGCTGAAATTTGGGGTATAAGGGCAACTGTATATAATTGTGACTGTCGTTTCTTGTTATGTCCGTTTGGTCAGTGTTGGCTATCACACTAGAACTGTCACAAGGTTGAAACTTGGGGTATAAGGACAACTCGATCTAAGGTGAGACACAGGCTTGGTGGCTGTGCACACCCACTTCTGGTTTCAGAATGATACTACTTTTGGTTCAGAGCTCCAGTACTTAATCTTCAGTGATTAATTGTTTACAGTTTATTGTGTACTTATAGATTTACTGTTTTACTTATTTAGGTCATCGCAAAGAAAGGAAAGCATGACCTAGGGTGGTTTTTTTTCTCCAAAAATATTTGTCATATTAAAGGGAGGGAACTCTATTAAATGATTCCAATTAATTTCGAGGTGTCCAATAAGCTATGTTATCAAGTTCAAAACTCTTATAATGTTCCTTAAATGGCATTTAGAAGTAGAGGTATAATATTCACGATAACGCAACTGTTTGGATTTCCCACTTCTTAGTTTATTACAGGCAACGTTTCAATACTCTTACAGGTATCTTTATGAAGCAATGATAACTTAGATCTGAGAATTCTTTGTGAACTGAGGGCCAGAATATTTTATCTGTATGGTATTCTTTATTGTATTTGTGTTTTTAAACAGTTTGTGATGAAGATGCAACATTGCCTAGTCCATTTACTCAACCTCTAACAGCCTCTATGATATTGGAAAAAGAGAAACAGTCACAATTGAAAACACATGCTCCTGGTGCATCTAAAATATTAGCCAAGGCTCGGAAAAAAGCTTTAGAAGAAGAGAACAAAAAGGTAATTATTATGGCAATATTATAAACATATTTTACTGTATTAGATATTGTGCATGATCTGATTTGAAATACCTGCAAGAATCAGGTGATACTTTAAAAATTCAGAAATTATTAATGTAAGTACTTTACATTCAAAGCTAGACATAGATAAACTCCATGAGCCAATATTCCCTCCACCCCTTTCTGATGGATTATAAGATGGAATTAATTCTGTTCTTTGTTTACCTTATCCAGGACACATTCCGAGTCGCCAGGAATTTTATGGAAATTGGATGTTACCAAAAAAGGAGGTTCTGTGTTTACATTAACATGCACATAAAAGAACCCTTGACATATGGAATTCGAAATTAAGAGTAGTTCATGGTGTCACTGTCCTGGGCAAAATTTCCCTCGTACCCTACTGTATGGTGAATTTCCCTCGTACCCCACTGTATGGTGTATGCCCATCTTCATTATGCCCATCTTCTTTTCGGAGCAGAAAAGTAGGATGTTAAACCCCATTTCATTTATAAAACAAATTATACACACCTCTCTTGATGTACATGTTTTATTTTAGAATCAAAATAAAGAAATTACTGCCTGCCCTGAGGCATGGACTAATGATAAACAAAATGGTGTAGAACCGATGCCAGTACATCCTGATAGACCTCATTCTGAACAATGGGCTAATACTGGCAGTAGTAAGGTAATTCTAATAAATATGAATTACATTGGGACTTCACTAAAACTCTTGGACCGTATTCACAAATACTTGCATCACTTAATAGTAAAATATATTAAGGCAGTTCACAATGACAAGCAAGTTCGGATTTAAAGTTACAATCAATTTTTGCGAAGAAAGTTACCGTTCTAGATCTGTTATACCTCTTAGACTATGATCTCGTTTCTCAGATGAAATTGGATTGTTCAATGTACAATAATGAAAAAGATTTATAATTTATTTTAAAACCTATTAATTTTTTCCATGGAGCCCATATACATATACTAGTATGCTTATTTTAATATCCTTAATCTATCCTGTTTCTATTATAATTTTATCTAATATTTCGTCAACAGGATCCTCCAGAACCGCAGGTATAAATATAATAGATTAGTAATAATTAGACTTCTTTAGACTTCATTGAAACTAGCCTCCTTTCATTTTGCTTTCCTCCATCTTTTTATTGTATGACTGTGTCTCTATATTCTAGAAATATTAAATGTTATTATTACTATATACAAAGTATAGACATGACTTAAATCTAGACTCGGGGGGTTGGATGGCTGAATGGTTAGCGTGCGCGCACTGTATCATAAAGTCTGTCATTGAGTCGACTGGCGTGGTTTCGAATCCCCGGTTGTACGTGACAAGGAGTAGGGTCGCCTGTCCAACCTCGTGGGTTTTCTCCGGGTCCTCCGGTTTCCTCCCACTGCTAAAGACCCCTATGCGCAAGCGAATTATTGAAATAAAATTAAACCATATGTTAGTCCCGAAATGACCTAGTTTGTGTCGAGTGGACGTTAAACCCCATTTCTCTCTCTCTCTCTCTCTCTATATTCTAGAAATATTAAATGTTATTATTACTATATACAAAGTATAGACATGACTTAAATCTAGACTCCATTTGATTTTCTCTTTTATCCAAACTTTTAGTTTTACTTTTGTAGAATAATGCATGGTATGGTATCTTTGAATTATCTTTGACTTTGTATTTATTTATTTATGTCATTACATGTACTATTATTTATCTTGCATTTAAAGGACTGTAAGCATAAATCACTTTAAGCTGATACTACTGACCTATGAACCTAGGCCTTTTAGTAATGAAAATATTTGTCATTAAATCATACAAATGATCATTACTCTAAATTAATGTTTTAGTATGTATAGATAATGGTTAGAAAGTAGTCATTCATTAGCAGGTGTGTAAATACCAGCTGTAAAAGATGCCACTTCTAGTATGAAAGCATGACTAATTATAACACCCATCTCTATTGAATACACAGACCTGGACATAAGTGGTGTATTATCAATCATTCAATAGTCACAGTTTTAACTCCTGGGTGACATAACCCCTTCTTAATGATTATTCACAAATTTAACTAACTAATAAACATTGTGTATATTAAATGGCTACTTTGGTCTTTTTGTGGCAAATATTTTCATTTATAAAATTCAAAAATACCACCTTTACAGTGATGCTGTATGATAATAATATACCTGTAGTCCATTGTATCAAGTATAATTCTTACCTTGTAATAAATGATAAACCATCCACATTTGAGCCCTGAAGGGGAATTCCCATTGGCATCGATCATTGGAATTTCAATTCAAGTCGGATAGTATCGCACTCAATCAACTTTTATTTCACCAAAAGACAAATTTTGATGTTATTTTAATTTATTCATTTTAAAATGTTAGATTTCCAACAGAAGTTGAATGTAGCAAATTTGAGAAGTATTTATTGCATGCTGTCCACTTTAAATTGTATATATTATTTGTAGGCTGTAGAACCCACACCTCGACCTGATAGAATCAGTAAAGATTATCATAAAGAATATCCTAGTATTGAAATAGAAGGTAGACGAACAATTAAAAAAACGCCAGCACCCAACTCCACACCTCCTAAAAACAACATGGAAAATGTTAAACTTGATGGGGAATGTGCCGAGGGCGAGGTAAATTTCAATTTAAAGTTTTAAAAAATTTTGATATTATGTGATGAGGAGCTTCGTTTTAAAACATGGAATGGCATGCTATTTGGGAGTAGAATTGGTGATTCTTTTTGTTGAAAGTGCCAAAGATAAAATGCAATTAAAATGATTAAATATCATTTATTTTAAAACAATATTTAATTTCTTCTTTTACAAATAAATATTATTCAACTTATGTGAGATAGCTGTAAGGAGTATAAACAGATATGTTTTAATAGTTTCATCGAGCTCTTTATGTATGCAGTCTTCATTAGCCCAGTCATGCAAAAGTCTTTTCTGTTCATTCATTGGTTGCTGTTACTAGTTGGTCCTGTGTCTTGTTATCATTCATTAATTGCTGTTATATTGCCATAAACTTAGTGTTAAATTGTACGATAAACGTGATGACTTTGACTTTCCGATTGTTAACTTTCCATTTATTAGTAGTAACATTCCAATATCACTAGCTTATGGAGTGTTTGTGTCTCAACTAATTCGTTATGCGAGAGCTTGTTCATTTTATTCTGATTTTTTAAGTAGATCGAGGCATTTGTCATCTAAGCTTCAACTACAGGGATACTTGCGAACTAAACTTATTGAAACCTTTAAAAAGTTTTATGGGCGTCATATTGACTTGATTGGTAAATATAACATGTCTCTCTCGGCTATTATTCTAGATATATTTAATTGACGTGTATACAATCTCCCTGATAATGTCTGTCTTCTACATCGTTAACACTGTTCGTCACGTGCATTTTGCATACCGATAGTCCATTGGCCAATCACACTATTTTACCGAGATTACGCCTAATAGTTTGGATGCAGCTATGGCGCGTGTGGCGCCAGGCAGGGTAAGCTTACTCTACCGGACACCTGTTACCACTGTTTGTCATGTATTTTGTACACCGTGAACAGTCCATATGCTGATTACACTATTGTGCCTTATTACACTATTTTGCCTATAGGACTTCGAATTTTGTCTTATGGTTTGGATTGTTCGTACTTGGTTTTATTTTATTGATGTAAGAGGTTGATAGTGATAATTATTGTTATATTAATGTAGTAGGTTGATAGTGATAATTGTTGTTGATAGTGATAATTGTTGTTGATAGTGATAATTGTTGTTATATTAATATTATTGTAGGAGGTTGATAGTGATAATTGTATTTATATTATTGTTGATAGTGATAATTGTTGTTATATTATTGTAGGAGGTTGATAGCGATGATGAATGGCAAGAGTTAATAGATACAACTGATCAAGATGGTGACCCAGACACAGCGTTATTATTATTACAAGATGAAAGTTTTATTAATAAATTATTAACCCGCTATAATACGAGTAAAGCCCAAGTATTAGATGGTATGTTAGAGGGAGCTGCTAGATTACGTTCGTTACTCCGTATAATAACAAATCTTGTTACTATTAAATGGTAAGTTGCATTTTATTATGCATGAAATTCTCCATTGGATATTTTATAGCATGGTTTGGTAGCGGAGGGGTATGAACATAGGCAGGTATCTGGCTCCGAACAACATTATAATAATGTTATATGTTAGTGGGGGGAGGTCTGTCATTAAGTCAAGTCGCGTGGTTTTGATTCCCTGCTTGTAATATATAATAAATAAAAGTTTATTGTTTATTTTTCAGTGAAGTTTCAAAAGTAACAAGTTTTACTAAAGCTATGGGTTTACCTGCTGAACTGATTAAAACATTAATAGATTTATTAGATAGTAGATCAAAAGTTAAACAGGTATTTCATATTTACCATTAGACAATGTTTTCTCAATTGTTATTATTTTGATTGGATAATCCAGATAAAAATGATTAGTTTAAGCCTTTGGGTGACAGAATGGTTTAACCTGTGTGCTTAAAATCATAAGGTCTGTTACTGAGTCAAGAGGCCTGGTTTTGATCCCACACTTGTACGTGACATGAAGTAGTGTAGCCTGTCCTACCTTGTAGGTTTTTCTTCTGGTTCTCCAGTTTCCTCCTGCTATGTTTGTGTTCCATTCCGATCTGAATCCAAATTGTCATTCGAAACCAGATGTGACAACTACATGTAAGAGAAATTTGGATAAATTGAACAATGTTAGCTTTGATGAACATTTAAAGGAGTTAACTGATTCTGGAGCAGTACAGACAACTATTGTCAAATCGGAACCCAAACTCAACATTGCAAAAATCAAAATAAATTTTATTGTTGGATCTAGCCGTAATAAATTGTTTCATTGTATATTGTTCTTTTTGCATGAAATATTGAAATATGCATCACGGTAATATCGCGATATTGACCTCTAATGACGTCACAAGAGGTTGATATCCAAACTAACGATTATTGAGATCAAAGAGATAATTGTCCTGTGGATTGTATGTAAATGTATCCATGTATTTTGTAGCAACCATGGTGTCAACAAATTATGATAGATTTAGTTATAGCTTTAAATGGATATTTTGCCGGTGAAATAGGATGGTGTGATCAAATAGACAAAGATGTGTAAGTTCATTACCACTTTTTCTTAACTTTGATCTTGATGACCGTGACATTATAATGCCCAAAGAGTGGCCTGTTCTCTGGTCGTGACCTTCATACATTTACATCCATGTATGACTAGCACTCCCAGGTGTAATATCGTAACTAAATACGAGTGATTGTTCTCTGTCTGTGACCATTATTGGTTGTTTTAAATCCAGGAACCCAGTAGTTAATAAAATGTTCTGGAAATCGGAAATCAAAGGGTTAAACAAGTGGCTTCATTGATATTTGTCAGAGCTATTAGATATTTACGTCATTGTTATATTATTAAGGACCAAATTAAAGTAATGATGCATCATTTCCATTTTTCGTTAAAATATTAAATTTCTCACTGCTTAATCCACGCTAATATGTAATCAAATAGATTACTTAACACTTAATTAAGAAAACAAATTAAAAAAATAGCACCCCACCCCACCCCGACTTGAATTCAATTGAATTGAAAATAAGCCTATCAATTCTGTTCACCCACAACAAAATGGCAGTCTGTTTATTATATGGCAAGCAGCATAGATCCATGAAATTTCAATTCAACATATCTTTGTAAATACTGAACAGAATTTAACCATTTTTGGACCTATTCCTATTAGAAAATCATCTTTCACAATATTGTAATTTGCAAGTGATTCCTATTGCACTAAAATGATGTAATGAGACTTTGATCATCATAGATTATTGTAGTTTGCACGTCGGCAGTGAGATTTAAATTATAATAGATTATTGTATTATTTTGAGTATATAAAAGGTAGAGTAATTTACAATACTATAGGTTGAATGAATATTATACTGCTATGAAACAATTTATGAATCTGGTATCTAACTTATTATATCAACAAGTAGATGAAGATTTACGTCTAAGAGAACAAACTTATCTGGTAAGTCCTGGAGATACATTCTTTGATTACAAACCTTTTTAATCCTCTGGATAGATTGTTAAAATATAGGGAGCTGCAGTGGCTCAGTAGGAAGTTACATCGCATTTCATTTCATTTCATTCAACTGTAGAATAGGAAAGGATATTAACCAACTACCAAATATAACTTGACTGATGGTACTTAATTATATCTTTAATATCTTTCTGATGCTATGGTATTAATTTCCAAATCGTAGTAAGGAAATTATTTACATAGATATTGTGATAGATTTTGTGCATCAATGGAAGTTAAGGGAGGCATATTAAGATGGAATCCAGCCGACCCTTCTAAACTATCCTAAATATCTATATACCGTTGCCTGTCTTACCTCAGGGGTTTTCTTCCTGTCCTTCGGTTTCCTCACACTGCTAAAGACCCCTACACACAAGCGATTTGTTAAAATAAAATTGAACCAATTGTTAGTCCGGATTTTAAACCCTCTCTCTCTCTCTCTCTCTCTCTCTCTCTCTCTCTCTTTATACCTTTTATACCACATGTGCCTTTTTTCTATTTAGAAAATTATTCTGATTCAATAATTTTTGTTTTCCATAAAGTTTTTGTATGCAAGGGCATGGGAGGTTATTTCATTGTTGGGAAACCACTTTTTGTTTACGGATGGCCCAATCTCTTTAGCTTGTTTATTTCTGTAATTCAATAATCAGTATGTTTTATTCCTTCAGTGTGTATTATATATAACAGAAGTTATGGAGAGAGATAAATTAAACCTAGCTGATGATTATTTTAGTAATCTGGGAGTAAAACAAACAGTTACATTAGATACTCTATTATCATGTACACTACCTGATTCTTCTATTGTTAAAAGACTAGCAGGTATATTACAATATATACTATTCACATACTTACTCTTTGTCTCAATACATTCATACACTACATCATGTCATTGACTTTACACTTTAGTTGGGTAAGGAACTGTGTCTAGTCAGTTGGAAGGGACAAAAAACTTGAGGTCTTGTGTTCATCGGTGTGCATGTAAAAGATCTCTTGACAGTTGGAATTCGAAATAAGAGTAGACTGTAGTGTCACTGTCTGGGCAAAATTGTTCTCATAGGTTATACCACACTGTATGGTGTATGCCCATCTTTAATAGCCCAGTCGCAGCAGAAAAGTAGGCTGTTAAACCCCATCCCATTTCTTTTTTGAATATTAGTCGATCTGTACGTTAAAGCAGCTGACTAGCATTTGAATGTTTTCGAATCCTTACAATATTGTGAAAGCTGAATCTCCACAAGCAATATCATCAGTCAAAAAGGGGTCAAATATCTTAACATTTGTCATCTTCTGCTGATATAAACATGCAAATAAAAAAACACCACCTATATCTGGTGGGTTAAATCAGCTGATGGGTCTCATTTTAATATCCGATTGAGTCCCAGTCGGGAGATTATATATCTTTGTATTTTTGAATCATCTCCTTGGTATTTAATCATAAAAATATTTATGACTTGTTTTTAACAGAACTTGTGGAGGGTAATATGGAGATGGCTGAAGATAGATTTGGTCGGTTAATGGAAATGGCTGTTAGTTGTATTTGTTCTTTGGTTGCTTTACCTTTGAAAGGTAAATTAGGTTTGGAAGGCAAGAGAAAGGTAAATCATTATAATTATCTGTTATTTTTTATTTACCGTTATAGATAGGCCTAAGAGATATCTCTATATTTTATAATCTATATTTACAGACGGCTCTATCTTTACAGATAGTAATATATTTCACCATTACAGATAACTCTAGGTTTTATATTTACAGATAGCTCTATATTTTATAATTTATATTTACAGATAGTAATATATTTCAACATTACAGATAACTCTAGGTTTTATATTTACAGATAGCTCTATATTTTATAATTTATATTTACAGATAGATTTATATTTTATAATTTATATTTACAGATAGCTTTATATTTTATATTTACAGATAGCTCTATATTTTATAATGTATATTTTATATTTACAGATAGCTTTATATTTGGGAGATAAATTAGCATCTGGGGAAATTAAAGACACAGCTAATAACTTTCTAATGTTATTACGCCATCCACCAAATTGTAATAATGTCTTAAAAGTAAGTCTACTATTATGCACAAGCTTTTGAATTAAGCTGTATGTATATTTTGGTTATGAATACTTTTTTTTTAAAAAAAATTTGAAGATGTGTTACTTTCATATTAATGATATGCACACCACTATTGTGAGACTGCTTCATAAATGTTGGGCTTACCCATATTAATCACTGATTTTCAAATTATGTATTTTTTCTTTTGCATGATAGCTCTCTATAATTTCTTTAATGCCCATACATTTTTGCCTTGTGATGTATTGATTTTGTATTGGTACCAACATTCCATGTCTATTGGAGAAGTTAAATTTTGACATTATTTAAAAATCTTGGATGAATTTCAATTATTTCAGATTATTTATTCATGTTGTCAAGTATCTGGTAAACTGTGCACCTACATATCTTCTACACCTCAACATATGGAATCGTTAATTGGTATTCTTATGGGACAGGTAAGTCTGTTGAAAACTAGCAAGATTGAACTTAACATGAAAACTAGCAATGTTGAATGTAACCTAAATGCTTCAAATGATGACATTGGATCATAAGTTGTAGTAAGGATTGATGTGAACGGCTGGGTGGTCAATTGATCTAACATGCACTTTAGATCATAAGATCTCTCATTTAGTCAAATGTCGTGATTCCTCGCTTATACATGACAAGGAGTTGGGTTGTCTCTCCAACCTCACGGGTTGTCTCCTGGTCCTCCCATTTCCTGCCACTGCTAAAAAAAACATGAAATAAAATTGAACCGTATGTTAGTCCCAAAATGACCTAGTTTGTGTCGAGTGGACTTTTAATCCCATAACTCTCTCTCTGGGCTTACGATCCATTTCAAATAATGGAAATTTTCATAGTGGTAGCCCCATCAACCGAAACAGGCCCCCCATTCATCCATTTAGCATTCAGATTTAGAAAACATAGTACTGTGGACCAGGAACCATGCATGACGTCATAGCCCACCATCTTTTGAAATTGTGAGGTCATATCAAAAGGCTGTCAATCAATGCACAGTTATCAAAGGAATAAGCATGCCAAGTTGCTTGTCGATCATACATGAATCTGCTGGATCATACATGAATCGGCTGGTACTTAATTGCCTTAGCCTTATACTTTTATTTGAAGCGCATCAATGCCAAGATGAAGAACAATGAGAAGAACCAGACTGTATTTGAGATTTAACTGTGTTAAATATGGTCTTTATTTATTATAGGTGGAGGTAGCTGATATGGAAGTTAATACAGTAATAGAAACAGTCTTACATATACTGAGTACTATCATAATACAGATACAATCATTACCACCAGTGTAAGAAACTAATAATTTAAACCTTTGTTTTTGAGTATAGATAGTAATCATTTTTTTTGCCCTCAAAATGGGACTCATTTTTGCCAGTATTATACTTTTACCTGTGATATTACTTCATCTTAGAAGAAGATGTTAAGTAATTTCTTCCTCTCTTCAGTACATGTATTTGTAATGCAAGAGTTGCAGGCCCCTCAACCCGATGTAGCCTCTTTGAAATAGTAGAAGTGTCTTTGAATTCTGGTTGTGTGAAATTATCAACTTTTATATGTTAGATTTATACATGAATAGTGATCATCTTATTGAATTATAATGATTTCATTTTGTAGTTTATCAGAGGCTGCTGGTATGATGGTTACTTTCTTCCTTGATTCAACAATTGCTAGTCATACTGTAAGCACTCTAATTCGTTTTTACACTACAATATATATTCAGATCTATAACGTATATTCAGATCTATAACATATAATATATTCAGATCTATAACATGTATTTAGATCTATAACATGTATTCAGATCTATAACATATATTCAGATCTATAACATGTATTCAGATTTATAACATATATTCAGATCTATAATGTATATCCTGAGCAACTGCTGTTCAGATGATTAACGTCAACTGAATGGTGCATGAAACTTTATTGAGTTTATAGTGGAAGTTGTCTTGATGTGATAGGAACAGCATTGTTTTCATTGGCCATTAATTGTACACAACTAAGAACATGACACAATGATGAAACTTGTTAAGTAAGATTGAATGTGGTAAAATATAGATATTTTCATCCAGGCTGCTGGTGCTCTGTTATTTAGTCAGATGGTATTTTGTGGTGTATCTGTAGAAGTTCAACCAGAAGATATGTTACAAGCTTGTTTATCTGTATTTACAGATATTGCTGAGGTATTACAACTTAATCTATCAACATCTTAAATTACTATGTTATTTAAATTCTTATTGCATGATTTTAGTGCAGATGAGCAAAGCTGTCCCAGTATGATAACAGACAGCTTTATGGATAACATTCATTAGGTTTATTAACTGCAATGTTTCAATGAGGACACTCTCAACGTTATCAAGCTTGTCCTCATTCATTGAAACGTTGCAGTTAATAAACCTAGTGACTGTTATCCATAAAGCTGTCTGTTATTATATATCGCTTTTACTAAATGCCTTTTAAAGATACTGTCCCAGTATGGATGATAGAAAAGTCATCCATCTAATGTGAGAGCTGTGTTGGATGATGCTTAATGTTTCCTCAGATTCTTCTGTTTCCACCCATTACTAAAGATTCCTGTCTGCCCATATTTGAATTAATTAATATACAATTACTAAAATTACCTAATATACGTTGTATAGACTATTTCCTCCTTTACATTACTTATAATGTTGAATATTGCATCCCAGATTCAAATTTCGACAAATGATATTTATATGAATTAAACTGGTGAATTTTAATTGATGTTTATCACACACATATTTTATTTGTTTTAGATTTGTGTTCGCTGTCCGTTTGATTATGGTGTTTTAGATGGTTTACTACTTTTATTATGTGAACTACTCTCACAGGTAATATGAGTTATTATGTGAACTACTCTCACAGGTGATATCAGTTATTATGTGATCTAGTCGCACAGGTAATATCAGTTATTATGTGATCTAGCCTCACAGGTAATATCAGTCATTAAGAGAAATTCAAGAAAGAACATATCTAGTCATTCTAATTCCTCCAAACCTATACAAGAGTGAATTAATGTTTGAACCATTTATCGAGATTCTAGTATTCCCGATATTCTTGGATTTGTAATTTCTTGATGTGCTCACAGATTTAATTTGTCTTGTTTTATAGGCTGATGTGCCAGTGGCACAGTTATATATAGAAAGTGGTATATGGGGTACATTATGGCATAGAATAGCACAAGCTTTACGAGTCAATAACCCAGAAACTAACATGCCAGTACATGATATAGAGACAGATGGGCAGATAACTCACCAGGGCTTTAATCCTCCTGACTGGAATTTTGTTTCTCCTCAAGGAGTAATGGCTGTACTACAAATGGCAGTTACTGTTTTTACTAAGGTGACTTTAATATATTTCATTAAATCAGTGCATGTTCAGGAATTTGACGGGTGGACGTCTGCCTATAGTTTTATAAAATCAAATGCTCTCAGGCAATATTTCTGCTCATTTAGGTGCATACAATATGCTCACCCCCTGTTAATGTTAATTGTTTTTTGTTGAATGGTAGTAGCTAAAAATTTGTCATTGGTTGTTTGAAAACTGTGGAAACGTTATGTTTTTATTCCTACCTCTAATTCCAATACAGGACTGTGAAATCATTGAATCCAGAACTTTTTAATACAGTGCATCAATAGCGTGGAATACACTTCCAGTATATTGCGTTATTTATTTGGTCACTTTCATTATTAATACAAAATCAGAACATTTTCTGACGCCTAAAGCAATTTGTAGCAGATTGAATAGTTGCACAAGAGAAATATCGCTGGTGTTGTTGTTGCATAGTTGGTTGTGACCACAACACATCCAGTCACAAGACTCCCAACATGCCTCCACCCAAGGCCAAATATGTTTTTGTGAATATTTTGGGTTTGTTATCAGTTTTAATTTTATATTTTCTTTACACATCTAATTGTACGGTCTTCCTGTATGGTTTGTTCTGTCTGTTATTTTACTGCAGTTTTCCTTCTTTGTAGATGTAAAGATATATTTTATTTTGTAGGAAACATACCAGTGTATACCCAATCTAGCAGCATCTGATAGTGTTGTCATGTTAACACTAGTTCATTTAATACATAAAGATTTCCTGGCAGTGATGTCAAAATGGTAAATATTTCACTCTTATTAATCATCAATCGTGTAAAAACAATTCAGAATTAATTTGAGAATGGGGACATGGGATTTAGATCATAAGGTCTGTCATTGAGTCAAATGACATGTTTTCAATTCCTCTCCCTTTCTCCAAGTGAAAAACCACCAGCAAGATCAAAACTCGCCTGCCGGTCTGCACTGACAAAGTAAGAAACCAACATTTAATTTATCATTTTCTATCCGCAGTGCCATTAAACCCACCCACCCAGTTCCGTGCCTTATTTTTTGGGACGTTACTGTCAAATGTTTTGAGATGGTCCCTGATCATCATATCATTGAAATACTAATGGCATATTGTATATTTTATGCGACAGGGAGTGTAGTCGGCTGCCTAATTTTGTGGATTTAATCTTATTTCTCAGAATTCTGAAATTCTAAAAAATATTGACATAATTATCATTTGTTAATCGTGAAATGTCTTTAATTCCTTCTTGATTAAGACAGCACAATAATCGATCAAATATGTGAGAAAAACATGTTACCTGATTTATTGCAGTTTGAATGAGGATGGTGTAGAAGTGACAGTTGAAATGATTTTAGAAGTCACACAACTCTGTTGTTTTCCATTTGCTGTTGATACAAATGAAGAATTACTAGCAGAAATACAACAGTAAGTTATATATATCTGTATCACAATGTGATAGGAGAGGGGGGGTGGGGGCTGTGGTAGTCTTCTGAATGTCACCGTTTTGTACCGCAGTCATATTTTTCACTTTTTGGAGTTAAGCATATGTGGCTGAAAAGGAAAATTAATAGTATTTATTTTGTTCTCAGGGGCTAAGTGATGGATACAATGACACATTTTGTGTCATGAGATTAAAAAATTTTAACCACCTTGTGTTTTTGCACTCCCCTCTCAAAAAGAAAAACATCATGTGGTTTTCAATGCTATTGACAGATTCTGATCTTTATTACTTTCATAATTATATTGTTCAACCAGTGTCAATCATATACCGTCAATAAATAATATGGCATAAATCAAATCTTAGCATATTCCACACAGCCTAAAATTTCTTGTAAAGAATTAAGATAATGCTATAAATATTGTCTTTTTGTACCCTCACAGAATCATATTGATCTTGTAGAATCAGCAGTCACCACGCTCCCATAGGATCTTGTTCCTCATGTAGAATCCGCGGTCACTACCCTGTTACAGGATCCTGCTCCTCATGTAGAATCAGCGATCACCACGCTTCCACAGGATCTTGTACCTCCTGTAGAATCAGTAGTCACTACCCTGTCACAGGATCTTGTACCTCCTGTAGAATCAGTAGTCACTACCCTGTCACAGGATCTTGTACCTCTGTAGAATCAGCGGTCGCCATGCCCCCACAGGACCGTGTTCTTCCTGTCACAGAATTCTGTTCCTCCTGTAGAATCAGTGAACACTACCCTGACACAGGATCCTGTTCCTCTTGTAGAATCAGCAGTCGCCACGCCCCTTGATTTATCTGAGAGAAAACTTGTATATGTTTTTATATATTTCAGTTGTTTATATACATCTAATATATTACCTAGATTATTACATGCTAGTGGTCAATATTTACATCATGATTTATTAGAGACACCATTAGGTTTGATAGCTAGACTTGTTCTAGGAAATGTTATATTTGTTGAACAGTTTGCTACAGCAGTTCAAGACTTTAAAGTAAGTGTACATTCAATTTTTGGTTTCTTTACATTTAAAGGGGTTCGGTGACCGAATGTTTAACGCATGTTGCGATTCCCAGCTTGTACATGACAAGGAGTAGTGTCGCCTGTCCAACCTCGTGAGTTTTCTCTGGGTCCTCAGGTTTCCTCCCACTGCTAAAGACCCCTGTAGGCAAGCGATTGATTGAAATAAAATTGAACCATATGTTAGTCCTGAAATGACTATAAAGTTATAAATGAACAAAATGTAATGTAGATAAAAGACCGCAACTTGTAATATCTGTGTCAGGAGAGGTAAGGCTACTGGAATCTTTACTAGCTCACTCATTCCAGATTGAAATCCTGACATTAAACTCCAATCCTAACCTATCTTCATTTGGTGCTTTAAATATTGAAAGCAGCTTTTGTGCAGGATGTTTATTTATTAAAGTGTAATCTGTGTATTTATAAGTGTATACCATTCCCATGTCAAGCTATTGAGACCAGTAATACACTATCTGTGATATGTTTATTTATTACAGTGTATACCATTCCTATGTAAAGCTATTGAGACCAGTAATACACTGTCTGTGATATGTGATACTATTTCTATCTGTAGTCATCTAGTTAGAACATCACCCGCTCATCTACCTCTAGTAATGTCCGTATTTCAAGGACAAAAAGGTAACTATATAGTCTTATAAATATTTAATATTTCACTTACATCTGTAATTGGATGCAGTAGGCATAAAACTTTCTTTGTGGTATACCATAGTGTATTAAGATACCTTTGTGGTATACCATAGTGTATTAAGATACCTTTGTGGTATACCATAGTGTATTAAGATACCTTTGTGGTATACCATATTGTATTAGGATACCTTTGTGATATATACCATAGTGTATTAAGATACCTTTGTGACATACCATAGTGTATTAAGATACCTTTGTGGCATACCATATTGTATTAGGATACCTTTGTGGTATATACCATAGTGTATTAGGATACCTTTGCGGTATATACCATAGTGTATTAAGATACCTTTGTGGTATACCATAGTGTATTAGGATATCTTTGTGGTGTACCATAGTGTATTAGGATACTTTTGTGGTATATACCATATTGTATTAGGATACCTTTGTGGTATACCATAGTGTATTAAGATACCTTTGTGGTATACCATATTGTATTAGGATACCTTTGTGGTATGCCATAGTGTATTAGGATACTTTTGTAGTATACCATAGTGTATTAAGATGCCTTTGCAGTGAATCCTACCCAAGGTCATCTTTCTTCATTCCAGCTTTGCGAAGCTTGCTGGAAACAACAGAGTTGTTCAAGACAGAGTCTATTTGTTTAACCCCATTTCTCTCTTATTATAATGTTATTATGTCTACTGAAAGATTATAAACTTAAAGTTGTTTCAGATCTAATTGTTATCAATAATTTGACTGTATTATCAATTTCAGGGGATTACGAACCACTAGTTATACTACTTACCCATAATTCTTCAGCTGTTAAATCTCGAACATGTAGTTTATTGGGTAATGTGATGAAACACGATGCTAAGATGTATTCTGTATTAAAACAAAGGTAAGATTGGTTATTACAGAGAATAGACATACAACAAACAAGCTCTGCATCTCTTGTATATCGAGTCTCCTTACTGATCGATAAGCCTTCATTTATGTTTTATATGGGGGCCACGGTGGGTATGATGCTAGCTGCCTAGCTTAGAGGTCGGGTGTTCGATCACTTCATTTGCCGAGAAAGTGATGCAGGACAGAGGGCCTGACAAGGAAAGCTGTCTAGTCGTTTGGATGGGATGAAAAACCAAGGTCCTGTGTACACATTGCCATGCACGTAAAAGATCACTTGGCTGTTGGAATTCGATATAAGAGTAAGCTGTAGCCCCGCTGTCCGAGTAAAACAACAGTTTGTGTTAAGACTAATGTTATATGGTTCAAACGTTGGTCTTAATTAATCAATGCAGTACAGTACAGCATGTTTCCCTCATAGCACACTATGGCGTATGCCCGTCTTCATTAGCCCAGTTTGGAGCAGAACAGTAGGACGTTAAACCCCTTTTCATTTCATTTTATGTTTTATATGAGTTATTGTTTCATATAGATTTTACAATAAATACTAGAATATATTTATAATACTACAATACAAGCTATGTCTTATGTTTAACTTTTACAATGAATACTAGAATATGTATATATTTATAAATACTACAATATATTTATAAATACTACAATATTGGTTATATCTTATATTTTAGAGAGAAAATATTCCATAGTTTAATAACTTGCTTAAAAGATTCAGATTCTAATGTTAGAAAGGTAAAGCTTATATCTTCTTTTTTTTCTTTATTTTGTTTTTATGATTCTTGTTTACAGTCATATTTATTTTAGAAACTTCATGGTCTTAAGCTTTCTGTATTCCACATTATTTTGTGGTTGTATATTGACGTAAACCGTGTCCATCTTTCACATTTCTTGTTAGAATAATAGAGGCTAGTACAATCAATATATATTTTTGTGATTTTCAACAATTTTTGATGATGAAGTACAGATTTATATCCCTTGGTTAGAAAATTAACACTTTACCATCCATTCTGTTTTCAGAATTTTGAGAGGCATTTAGCTGATGCTAGTTGTAATTGATGTGTATGTTATTTCAGGGTGCAAGTTATGCTGTTGGGAATTCTAGTTATGATCAATGTATATTTGTTATTTCAGGGTGCAAGTTATGCTGTTGGGAATGCTAGTTATGATCAATGTATATTTGTTATTTTAGGGTGCTAGTTATGGTGTAGAGGATGTTCTAGTAATATGATCAATGTATATTTGTTATTTCAGGGTGCTAGTTATGCTGTTGGGAATGCTAGTTATCATAGTGGTGAATTATACACCAGATTAAAACCTGCTATACCTTTATTAGTTACTTTACTTCGAGATCCTGTCACAAAAACTAAAACTAATGCCTCAAGTAAGTTTATAATTATAATAAGTAGAAAGTCTTGGATGATTAACTTCTTTGAAATCTACATTTATTCATTTTCGACATAATATATTGAATTCGCATCTTGAGAACGATGTTGTTAATGTAATCATAACTAGAAATGCCATTGTCAAGTTGTATTTTTAGATTTTCTTAAACTTAACTGCAACTTAAGGACTTAAAAAGTTAATCTGAATATTGCAGTGAGAATAGCCATTGAGAATGTGAGCATGCAAGTCAAAATCTAAGGTAGTGAGAATGTGAGGCAGTGAGAATGCAAATCCAGTAATGATGAAAACTGATAAACAAATTGTCTGAATATTCAACCAGGTGGCCTATAATAATCATGTTGGAAATTAGCATTTGTAATGTATTTGTAGCAGATCTTTTTAAACATGTAAACAAGTGATGATTATAAATCCATTTTGTTTGAGTTATAAACTAGGAATTATTTCATAAGATTATATGCTCAACCTACTTTTTCCAGCCTATGTAGTATTTTAATACAGTGTTTTGCAGTCCAAAACATATTTGTGAGGGTTTTTTCTATTCTTATTTTAGGTGCTTGTGGTAATCTAGGCATGCATTCTCCCGCTTTATCTGTAGAAATCAAGAAAGCTAAAATGATTCCACAGTAAGTATCCTTAAATCTATCCATAATATTGAAAATATGATTCTTAAAACCAAATGACCAGTTTTTAAACAAGGTATTTTTTCTTTTGCATTTTGGAGCCTTGGTGGCCCAGCAAATAAGGTGCTGGTTTTCTAGCCTGTTCACTAGCCAAGAGGTCCTCGGTTCGATTTCGGCATTTCCTCTTGTCAGAAATATGAGTCAGAGGACCTGGCAAGGAATAGTGTCAGGTTGTACGAATGGGATGAAAAATTAAGTTGCTCTATACGCATTAGCGTTCATGTTAAAACCCTTGACAGTTGAAATTTTAAAATAAAGAGTATGCCGTAAGCATAGCTGTCCAGGCAAAATTTCTCTCATAGCACACTTCCCGGTTTGTGCAGAAAAGTAGGATGTTAAACTCCTATTTCATTCAATGTAGTCTGTAATGATATTAGTATATTGTTATTTATTATTTTACAAGTTATTCTTCTGTTATATTTTAGTTTATTGGATGTGGCTTGTAATGATATCAGTCCAGTTGTACAGATATCATCTTTATTAGCTTTACGATCTCTCTGTCAACAATCAGAACTTAAAAAGGTATAGACTATCAGTCATGTTATTCATTTTATAATCAAATTCTATGGCTCCTAATCTTTCTGTAAGTTTGACTTCTCTGTGGTGCTTGTCAGTAATAATTGCTATGAAAATAAATAAAAAATATGATTAAAGGAATATACAAATATGTGACCGGTGACGGCCAAATGAGTCGTCACTTTGGGTAAAAAATAATATTTGAGTTATGCATATGTTCAGAAAGTACATGTTATAAGCTTTTCAATGATATATAAATATAAAGCCGGAAGCGAATATTCCATCGGTAACCATCGTCAATTTGGCAGACAAAAATGGCTAATTTTTACGAAAATTCTTTTGTTTTTAGCATTAATTTTAATGACACTACTTATAAAACACCCAATTTATACACTAAATTAATTAAATATTTAAATTTGTCTGGATTACTCCAATAATAGACAAGTTAAAGCATCGGATTTCGCAAGGACAAATTTTTGTTTAAAGCTAAGCTCAAGTAGCTATTTTACATCGTTGCTTTAAATGAGCATGTCCGACTTCCGACTCATTTGGCTGTCACCGGTCACATATGGTTAACCACAAAACAACTTTGAAGTAATCAAAAGATTAAAATAAACACAACAGTTCTATGGATAACAATTACTGTATTTCTATTAAAGCTACGTTTCAACAATGATTCTCTTGTCGTTATAATCAAAAGATATATATAATAATGACATTTATTGGGCTTATTTTAAATGTGAAATAGCATATTCTTTTCATTTCTTAACTTTCCAGGAAATGGTGTCTTTAAATTCTGTAGCCAAATTATCAAACTTGACAGCAGCCAATACACCTCGTCCTGGTACAGCTAGTTCCCGACCTCTATCAGCGATGTCACGACCAACTAGTGCTATGTCTATTAATAGTGTTCATATCAGTGGCAATGTCTCCAGTCATTGTAATAAACTGATTAAATTTCTACAGACATGACACATCCAGACTGTTGAACACTCTATTGTAGATGCATAAGATACATACAGTATACATGGTACTGACAGATACACACAGTATTGATACACATGGTATTGATATGATACACAGTATACATGGTACTGACAGATACACATAATACATGATACTGACAGATACACACAGAATACATGGTACAGGCAGATACATGCAATATGTATGGTAAGGCAGATACACACAATAGCTGGTACTGACAGATACACAATACATGGTACTGACATACACACACAATACAAGGCACTGATAGTTATACACGATACATAGTACTGACAGATACATACAGAACACACTGTACTGACTTAAACACACAAACATGGCACTGACATAAACACACAATACATGGCACTGACATAAACATACATTACATGATACTGACATACTTACACAATATATAGTTAAAGGCAGATACATACAATACATGGTACTGAGTACTGACATATACACAATACATGGTACTGACATTATACACAATACATGGTACTGACATATACACAATACACGGTACTGACATATACACAATACACGGCAGATATTAAATATTTACATTCCTGTTATTAATAAATAAAACATGTAAGTTAAGTCTACAACTACATCATCATTATTTTCTTTCCTTCCACAGAACAATTCACAAGAGCCTTATCTTCATAAAGATTTTCACATTTTAGATATAGTTAGAAATATTTCAAAACGTACATACCGTGCTGGATTTTAGATTGTGAATATTCAGAAATTTAATTGACAGAAGGGCTTTCAAGAGACACATGATCTGGGGGAGGGGGGGGGGGGGAATTATGGCCGAATGGTTTACACGTGCACACGTGCGCTGTATCATAGGTCTGTTATTGAGTCAGATGGCCGCGCTTTCTATTCCCGGGTTGTAGATGACAAGGAGTAGGGTCGCCTGTCAAACCTCGTGAATTTTCTCCGGATCCTATGGGTCTGGAAATGACCTAATTTGTGTCGAGTGGACGTTAAACCATCTCTCTCTCTCTCTCTCTCTCTCTTTTTCTCTCTCTCTCCTGATCCAGTAACATTGTAATTTCATATGCTCTTAGTGTTATTAATTTTGACTTTGTGTATAATATATAAACACCACTTGCTTTAATCTTGTCGGATATATACATGTTGTATATCAAGTTTGACCACTTATTCAGAGCCGTCTTAACCAGGGTTCTTGAAACTAACCGGCCAGAATTGGGTCAAATGAGGTCTCGGTTGGAAATGGGGTAATTAAAAGCTGCCATTCCATTTAATAGACCAACAAAAATAATTATTGGTAATGTGTATTCTGAATAAGCTAATATGTGATTACCACAAAAATAACCACAGATACATGTAGGTACACCTTTCAGAAATTCTTTATATTTAATTTATGTACTGGCTTCATGTACACGCCAGTAATATTCCTGAATAAGTTGCTGTCTTCGTTTATACGATAGATAACCTGTCCTTAGTGAGCCCCCCCACTGCCCAGCATGCCCATGTGTTAAGACGGCTCTGTACTTTTTTTTACTGATTGCTGTTATATATATTAAGTTGACAAAACAAATTTACTTGAAGTATTTTTTGTGCTGATGTTTTATTTATTGTGAAATCACATATCAAGTATTGTAAATTACATTCCGTCCATTATTCTTTATTTATTTTCTTTAGTCAGATATTTTTGTTACATTTATTTGTTTTTTTAATGATTATACACACACGTTTCAATAAAGTATTGAAATGATATTGAAAATTGAAATATGTCATTGCTTTGTCTCTTTGTAGTGTATATCAAATCAAATCAAATTGAATCATTTGATCCTGCTTGGGAAGCCATGTTGACGCAGTGAGAAGGACGCTGGCTCATTAATCGGGGGTGCCGGGTTTGATCCCGGTGTGGGCCAAGAATGTTCCTCGGTTTTTTCATCATGGTTTCCACCTTTCCAATGGTGCAAGATGGAGTCCCTGACAAGGAACAGTGTCTACTCTTTCGGATGGGACGAAAAACTTAGGTAGTCCGAAAGTCAGAATTCGACTAATATCCCCAAGAGGCTTATGAAATACACCAGAATATTAAACGACTTCCAGTTTCTCCTTGGAGTGGGGGGGGGGGGGACAATTTAATTTTTAGTTTGTTGGGGTCTTCATGAATAAATAGGGACTTGATTCACGTGAAAGATGTCTGTATAAAATTTCAAAACTTACAAAATTGGAACCAAAAACTTTTGCACAGTGCAACCAAGTATTTTTGGTTTTTAAATTAGTCCTTTTCCTGAAGAAATAATAATCAAAATTTTAACAGGTGTTCCCCAAGAACAGAAAACTAAATGTGTGCTGCCTTAGGTATGTGTATTTAGCCACTGCATGGCATTTGTGCTCATCGTGGAAGTTTTGGTCCATGGTTTTACCAACCAACATTGTAAAGAGATATTAGGTCTTTGGGGATCTTGATATGCAGTGATTTGACTATATACATGTAGTTACTTTACGGGTGTCCAAATTAGATTCTATGCCAAATGGAATATAAGTCTGCAAAGTAAAATGTTGTCCGTGATTAAGTAGAGCAGTCCCTGGGTTGTCGCAAATAGTTTACTTAAACCAGCATTACATTCTTTGAAGATCTTGGTAAAACAAACAATTTTACACTTTGCAAAGCTGGTAGAACAATGTACAAGTACTTAACAATATCTTGAGCCATCCGTCCAAAACAACGACGTGATAGTCGTGTGTTAAACTGTCCACTAATCGACTAGGTAGGACGATACTGGTTTTCACGGCACCCAAAACAAAGTTGTAGCAAATGTGTTCGTTACAGCCGCTAATCTTTTACTTCACGTTGTGTTTCAGGATGTACGGTAATATCACATTGATTCACTGTGTACGGTTCTTGTCTGAGCGGGTAATAGTGTCTGAAATTTCTAAACGTGTAGTCCTCCTTTAAAGGCTAATACGCCATGTCCTCCACCCGTTAATACGGCTCTAAATACTAATTACATAATTATTGTTAAATCTATGCCAACAATATGCGTGAAATTCATGTCTATATAATGCGGAGAAGGACTGATCAAGATAATCATTTCCGAATGTGAAGATGGGCATGCACATTTTCTTGAAAATTAGCTGGAATTATTTCTTAATTAGGAGAGCTAGATCTATTACGATTCACTGTTTAGTAGGTTAAACAAGAGGGACATGGTTTTTACTTGCCAATCTCTGCATTCTGTTGAAAGATATATTTTTTTTAATCATTGAATGTATTAGCATTTCTACTGCAATGTCACATCTAATAAATCTTTTTTACCGGGCTTGAAGCCAATATTAGGCACCGGGCATATAATTGTTGCGGCAACTAGTTAAATTCGAACATACTCCATTTAACTGCGGTGTTGCAAGACGGAGGGCCTGGTAAGTAACAGTGTCTAGTAGTTTGGTTGGAACAAAAAAACAAGTCCTGTGGACACGTAAAAGAACCCTTGACATAATAAAAACATGCAATACTTAATTTGTCAATTTTTTATATATACTAGTTACTTATTGGAATAAAATATGATATATACAGTAATACATGATGTATACATAAACATGATATATATTTATAAAGAGAAAATATATACATAAACATATTATCTAGTTGCGACCCGTCTTCATTAGCCCAGTTGGAGCAGAAAAGTAAAAGTAGGACGTTAAACCCCATTCCATTTCATTTCATCAAGTAGCGCATCCGGCCACTTTATGGGGTGAAAGATATGGGCTACTATGTAAGTACATCTTAATAATACTAAGAAAAGTATATTGCACAATGACAACTCCTCATTGTTGAATGGTATCTGTGGATCATCAAAACGAAAGTAGAGTAGGAGATCCCCCCCCCCCTTACACATCAACCTGGATGTTCGTCCAAGACTACCAGATTCCGATAGCATTACCGGGGTGGGTCTGATTTTGAGAATAACTTAAGATATATTGGCTAACTGACATTTTAGAAACTATAATAGTTAGTTCTATACCATGTAATCTTAAAAAAAAATTATTATCTATTTACATATATAAAATGGAGGTATACTGTATGTCGAAACTGTAGACAATACGATTACATAGCTCCGAACTTTACCATGGAAATATTAAGTTTGATAAGGTTCTTCTTTATGGCCGAATGCACAACCCCAATAAGTTGTTCTAGGGCAAATGTTCCAAATATGATATGAAAGAACAGATTGAACACTTGAACAGAAAATGGCAAAGGAATATTTTCTAACGTAAACGGGTAGATAAATCCGTGATAACGATGGAAATTTTCGACAAGGTTCTTCCTTATGAAAAATTGAACAAATCCCTGCAAATCTGTCAGAATTCTGAGATGTAAAACAATTGTGGACGGACCAACAAATACGTCTACATAAAATGCGTCAGTTTGTAAAAAATATGGCGCAGAAAGGGTCATCAGAATTGCACCTGGTTGGGAGCACTGTGAGTGCGCACACTTATTGCAACAGGCGCATAAAGGACATTGATATGTGCGAAATTAATCCAGTTAGTATTCATAAATTTCAAGTTTACATTTGTATAAACATCTTGTGCAAATTGTATGGCGTAGAAATTACCTGAAAAGATGCAAAATTTGACGTCGCAAAAAATCTAAAAGCAAAATAAATGGACGAGTAATATTTATAGCAATAAACAGAATATTAAAAAATAAAATATACATGATGAAAATAGGATGCACGGCCTCTATAATACAAGTCATTTAAATCAAAACAATACAGGGACACGTAACGGTAGTATACATTTCTTGAGTCACCGTTTACCAAACACATGATATTGATAATATGAAAAAGTCAATCCCTGCTTAAAGAATCATAACGGATATTTTACAACATAATCTGTCCGGAATATTTCCTGGTCATTGTGGCTTGTCCGGGAACAATTAATCCATAAATGTCCAGAATTTTGGGGCATTCAATGTTTGCGATACACTTGAGTAACACACACATTTTCTCGTGATCTAGACACAACAATTTCTTTTCAAAAATTGCAGCGTTAGGATGTAGCCAAACTCTTCCAGCAATAAAATAATACTGGTTATTCGAATAAAATCATTCTTTAAAATGATGTCACGCAGGTGTGTTCTACAAGACCTCGCATGGTCTACAACCTCTCATTAGGTTTGGTTGTAATGAATTTCTTCCTTCAAACACCAATCACCATTCAATATTCTACCACTACCAGTAAAGTATGTGCAACAACCAATCAATGCGGTTTTCGTTTCATAACGTTAATTGTTCCAAGGTGTTCATAAGTTAGATATTTTTGTGAACTTCTCCATTTTAATATCCGGTCCATTTCGGAGATGAGGAGGTTGTAATGATGGTTTTATGCATTTTAAAATTTTCTGGAAAAAAAAGTTTTAATAATGATTTTAATATTACCGAGGCTTAAATATATATAAAAAAGATATTTTTTTTCATTTTCATTTTTCTGTCATTAATCAAATATGCTCTAAATTAGACAATAACTCTTCCAATCTGATAGTTATTTCTGGAAATGGGAAACAAAGTCCACACAAAATGAAATGATGTGGGGTTTAACGTCCCACTTTTCTGCAGCATCCCGGATAATGACCGCGGCTCTCTGGCTTACTCTAATTTTGAATTTAAACTGTCAGGAGATCTTGATTTTTCGTCCAAGCCGAAGCTTTTTCATGCCAGAGCCTCTGTCCTGCACCACTGACAGGGGAAAGCAAGACTGGAGGGACCGACGTCCACACAATCCAATTAATTGAGTTATTTACGGACTAACATATTTTATTGTTTCGTCTGCACGCGTGGATCTTTAACAATCGTGGGGATAATCCCGAGAAAACCAACAGGGGTCAGACTGTCAGGTATCATCGCTTACCAGTTGCGAAAGTCTAGAAAACCAGCTCAACATGTGTTTCGAAATGGTCTAGAAATGGTTGGCATAGGTCTAGAAATGGTTGGCAGATCCTGCCTCGTGTAACTTACCTGTTTAAATGAACCTTTAGTATAAAGCAGCTTGAACACCATATATATAGGTACACAGATTAGCGATGATGCTGTAATACACCAACCAACAGAAACACTCCATTCAGGGAATACGTAGTCATCTAAAGTTAATCCACTATAACCCCATATAGACAAACAAAACAGTGTCTGGAAAATACAAGTCAAAAATGTGTATGACAATAACAATACGGTTACATCTGTAACTCATTCTGAATCATCGACATATTTTGAAAGATGTGGCTACCTATGGAAACAGAAAATACAGCTAGTTTTAATACGTGTCATTTAGTTTTCGAGCCATAGTTTCGTACGGTGCCTACTGATGTACAGCTTTAATGTTTCTTACACATTTAAATGAATAATACTAGATTTTACCATTTGGTATGGAAGGGGTGTGGTGCCTGTTACTTTTGCCTGGCAAGCAAGAACCCGTGGGGGTATATAAAGCCAGTAGTTAAAAGAGATAGGGGAGGGGTACGACAAATTATGGACTACGGATGTGTAGCATATCCGAGCCATGGTATTTATGTTTGACACTGGTGGGTAGAGAAATATAAAAGTTCTTGCCAAAAACTCCAAAAGGGTGGCGAAAACTTAAGTGCGGGGGGGGGGGGACTCTAAACCAATGACACAAAGCGAGTCACTGGGTCGCCTTCACTTAGCCTCTGGGGCCCCCGAGGATGGGCATGTGGGCGCCAAGGTCTAAATAAACAAAGATGGTGTGTGTACAGAACAAATCTGGTGTGGGTGGGTGTCTGTAGTAAACAAACATGGTGTGGGTGCTGTAAACAAAGATGTAGTCTCTATCATCCAGAAAAATATTCTACGAATATTCGGTACGCTGAAGACTAGGGGGTTCTTGGTGACCGAGACTAACAAAGATGGCGTTGGTGTGCAGTAAACAAAGATGGCGTGGTTGCTTTAAACAAAGATGGTGTGTGTACAGAACAAAGCTGATGTGGGTGTGTAGGTGTATAAAGAAGGCATGGGTGCGGTAAACAAAGAGGTGTTTGTGTGTAGTAAACAAAGATGGCGTGGTTGCTTTAAACAAAGATGGTGTCTAATGATACTCACAAATAAACTTATAGGATTAATAATTGCCCAACAAATTTTCCAAAATATCCCTGGTTGAAAACCCAGCATACTCTCCACGTCATTAGAGAATCGACGGACACCTTTAAATTACAAAAAAAATACATATATCCTAAAATTAAAAATTGTGTACTATCTTAACGTAAATGAATAAAGTGGGTTTAACGTCTTTACCGGGAGACGTGTGTCTGATGAGGAGGTGCTACGGCCTACTCATATTTTCAACACGCTGTCAATGGTATACACGAGACACTGATTTTACATACCATCCGAATTACGAGCCATTATTCCTTACCAGGCCCAGGCCCCTGCAAAAATTTCGACTATAAAAAAATAGATATACATTGTCCGTCATTTATTTTACAGCACCCCTGAGAACACTTCCTACCTCCTCGTTGCTCTGAGCTAGTTACGGCCCTGACCAGGCCCCTGTCCTGCTGCTTACCACTGACCAAACAAAAAAACATGCTGGAAAATTCTGAGGAATTTCACGCCCAAAACTGGGATCGAGCCATGGGATCTCGAGATTAGTGGGCTTATCCCTGTTTAATGTAAAGATTTATTATCTTGATATTAACAGGGGCGGATCCAGGAATATTTGCAGGAAGAGGTTTGCCCGGTACCTGAGGCAATCTATCTTTGAGAGGGGGGTCCTGGGGGGTTCTCTCCGCCCGACCTTGAAAATTTTTGAGAAATACATGATCTGTATCGTCAGTTTGGCATACACACTGAGCTTTTTGAGAAATCAAATGTTTGACGTCAATTTTTATTATGAATTAAGACAACATAGTGATTCAATTTCATTGATGTAAAGCATTAATTGTGATATCACACATCCCTATATCATTATCTTGCGCTTTGAATTCTCATCCCATCCCATCATCTGACGATAAAGGATAAAGCACACGACCGTGACACTTTTTTCATAAAAAGTGTGTTGTTTTACCATTTTTTTACGAAGTTGAGCAGGTAACCCCCCCCTCCCCCCGATCTGGATCCGACCCTGATTAAGTATGGGTATGGTCTCTATTTAATCTATATTTTGGTTTACCGTGTCCCTCACATTTTTCGATTTTGACAATCATTTTTATGTAATAAACATCAAATATATACACTCATTTGTTATCGAATAAAAGTTCTTAATTCTTGGAACAGGCGAAATAAAATAATCAAAAGTAAGGTACCGTAAATCCAGTTGAGTGCAACCACTTCCAGAAAACAAAAAAATATCAGAGACAACGAAGCGCCGTGTAAATCCATTATCGCCATTACATACTGACCACCCTGAAAAATAAATAATTATTTTTGTTTGTTAGCCGATCATTTCCAACATGAAATTCAACATGAGACATTCTACAGACAGCAACTTCTCTCAGGGTCTGCAAACAACCCAATGAGCTATTTCCAAGAACTTTGTCAGCGCTTTGGGCATACAACACTGTTTTGGATCTAGAGCTTTATAAGAACACTTTTTATTATTACTTATTGAATGCGTAATACTTGCGCTGATCAATTTATTAAGACACCAAAGATAGACCGTGTTTGATCCGCTATTCATCAAACCACTCAAGAACGGATAAGAGCGTTTTTTTTGTCAATGTAGCCCAATGTATTGCTAAAAGTAACTGACAAGGAAATCTGTAAAAGATACATTATGGGAGATTCGATAAAGAGTTGGCAGTTCTCACTATAATAGTTAAAAACTAGATAATGTAAAGGCAATTTGGTGAAAATTCCATTCAAATTGATCCACTATGAACCGAGAACAAAGCGATTGAATTTCCGCCTAGCCTTGATCATCATTACTAAAGTCAGTACGATAAACAGCATAGTTTCGATTATCCATTTAATCGTTAAATCGTGAAGGAAAGTTATGCAGTAAATCGGCTCACAATCCACTTAAGATCGCAGGCTAATGATGCCATCTAGAGTTGATTATGGTCTGGATAGGTTAATTAATGTCTAATTAATAATTTAGATAACATTTCAGGCCTAAAGAAAGACCTGCAATAGACAGATCTAGCTCTTGCATAATGTATGTTTAAATCTTGGATAGGATGTGTAGAATATGCATATATCTATATCATATTTTTTTCTGCCAGTCACTTTTTCCAATACTGTGGGTGCTACTGACCACAAAACGCCCTTGTCTGTGATTAGAAAGAGTGTTTTTGTCAATATTTCAATTATCAATAATTTTGTCATTTTTTTTAATGAAATAATTTAAATTTTGGAGAGTAATACTTATATACGGTATATTAAACCTCCCGGATGCCAAATGTGTTGGAAGTTGGAACAGAAATCAACTGGTAAGTATTTAAATACACAAAGGCTTTAAAGGAACAGGATTTAAAATTGATCTTAATATTGTATAGATCTCTCCAATTAATTCGGCCAGCGACCGCTAAAAACGCGGCTTCGACTAACCAGATATTATAAGCTGTAAGGGTCCAGCAGAATTGATCTTATCCATACAAAAAGAAATGTTCAAACCGAGACTTGGTTTATGATCTCTATCATAATAAGTCCACATCATATACTTCGAGCATTTTGTCTTGAGATCGGGGTTTCCGGCTACACACTTCTTCGATTTTCAACCATCATGGGTTGTATGTGGACATTGTCTTTTTTGCCCTATCCGAATGACAAGGAACACTTTTCTTGTCAGCCTTGCAGACGCCACCTCTACCAGACAACGGAACGGTCAGTCAAGTACAGTTCCGAACAAATACCAACCCCGAGACTACCACGGCCCCAATCCCCACTTCCTAAAACGACAAGAACACTGAACCCACGCTTATAATGGTTTATAGAACTGATTTAATAAAAGACTTACATAGGTGGTTGTTGGTAATCCTAAGATAAAGGCATACAGCAATACAAATAATACAAATATTTCCCTCCGTTTCTTCAATCTTGGGTAAGCGTCTGTTAAGGCCGTTATTACAGATTCTAATCCTGCAAACTTAAAGAGGAAACAATTTGTTTTTAAAAAGTGGACCCTAAGGAATATTTCCCATTAGGATTTGATGATTGCAAGATAGCCACAAAATTTAAAAACTATATCTGACTATTTAACAGCCGAAGTATCTGAAGTGCAAGGGCTGGTCCTGGACTGGTCCAGTGGGGCAGGTTCACCCAAACATGTTAAAAGTAAAAGTAATTCAATGAGAAAATAACGTAATATTCACTAAATATTTGTCACTTTCCGCTGTGTTGTTAATTTAGTCAGCAGATAACCGCATAATATCAAATGTGGATACTTAAGTATCAAAATTGGCACAAATACTCCTTGGGGACTACTCTTTTAGAAAAGCCCATAAGCCATTCGAATATTCAGACGCCTGGACGGACGGACATACGCGACGATATATGTCAACATGAAAATGTGGGTGTATAAAAATATATTAACATTCCTCTAAATGGGTCTAGTGGGTAAAATTATGTAATAGAAAAGCCGAACATGGCAGCCATCTTGGAAAATGACGAACATTTTGATAATTCAAGTGGCTAACGCGATTTCCTTATTAAAAGACTCTAAACGGACAGCTATGTAGGCCTATATGTTAGTGATAGTATTCAGATTTGAACGATTCTCATCTGTTTCATTTGTCTAGGTTTCGGGGAATGGGTACAGGAGATGTGCATGGTTTTTTTTTTTAGTTTAAACAATATTTTATCCAACAAACTTAATTGGATTGAACAGCAGTCAAATGGCTATATAGGTTTTCTATATATATAAGTTTTGAGTTGGTCACGGTTATGGTCAAATTTGGTAATGCCGGGTTCCCACTGTCGTGCGATGCGTTATGATACGACTGTCCCCACTGCGTCCACGGTCTGCTACGTGTGCAGATACGTGCGGATACGTTTCGATACGATCAACACGATTGCTACGACTGACCTCAATATATAATACGACCTGATAGGATCACCACGATTACTCCACGATTAAAACCACGATTTCTATCGTAGCGCGAATCGTGATAGTGGAAACCTAGCATAACTATTACAAGTAAGGGGGGTTGGGTGGCCGAATGGTTAGCACGTGCGCACTGTATCATAAGGCCTGTCATTGAGTCAACAGGCGGGGTTTCAAATCCCTGGTTGTACGTGACAAGAAGTAGGGTTGCCTGTCCAACCTCGTGGGTTTTCTTCGGGTCCTCCGGTTTCCTCCCACTGCTAAAGATCCCTACGCGCAAGCGAATTATTGAAATAAAATTAAACCCAATGTTAGTCCCGAAATGACCTAGTTTGTGTCGGGTGGAAGTTAAACCCCCTTTCTCTCTATATATATTACAAGTACGCTACCGAGCAAAACCGCGACCTTGATACCATAAGATGACATTAAGTTTTCCAGATGATAAACATCACTAACCGAACTATCTAGACCCAGAGTTATTAACATCAGAAAAAATAGTATAGACCATAATGTTGATAATGGTAGAGTCGAGATGGCTTCGGGATAGACGATAAACACTAATCCAGGCCCTGAAACAATATAAAATACCTCAATGACAATGTATGACCAAACATACATATTTTTTTAAATATCAAGCACAATCGAACCTAACCAGTTAACATATTCGAAATGTTCAACAACTAATCCGTCTTTGAGATATACATTTTATCTATATGTTTAAATATACGAGTCATGCATGTTTTTAAATATTTTCTTTTTATTTCTTCAGAACAAGAAAGACTATTTTAAAATTAAGAAGTACTTGATTGCACTGTTTAAAAGCTATTGATTTTTTAAAGTTTTAAAATTCTAAAAAAAAACGTGGCCTTACCTTTCACAGCAACATCTTCTATAGGTTTACCCTGCTTTAAGGACATGTAACCAATAATGGAGAAGACAACTAATCCTGCTAGTAAACTTGTAGCACAATTTATAATAGTTGTTATTATCGCATCACTGAAATTATAGGAAATTATAACACTTCATGGGAAAAAAAGTCCATAGACCTATCCAGCCCTTTTTTGAAGAAGGCACACTAACATCAACCGAAAATAGTACTTTGGCAAACTTTGGTCCAAAAAAGTCTCTGTGCTGCTCGTATGTATGTTTGGGGGAGGGAGCGTTTGCCTGAAAAATGTGGATATATTTGTAGTGAGGACAGCTACGAAAACGTAGCTAAAAACGTTGAGATATACTGTGATGTGTTTGTTTTTACTACGATTGGGTGCCTTTATTTTCCCCTGGCAAACTTAATTTCTTTATTAATGCATGTAACATCTTAAAAATAAGTTTATGTTAAACCATTAGGACTAATTAAACATGCCCGGCCCAATGTAGCGACAAAACTTTCGTTTATCTGCAAATATTGTCAGTAAAGTTAATAAAACGGTGTTTTTATCAAAATTGATACGGACATTTATAATTACGATGCATTAGTCATGCGCAACATCCTACTTGTGGTTTTATATCCCATATCTTGATTGGCTGTTGTTCACGGCATATATTTAGCCCCGCCTTCATGACGTAACTAGGCGTCAATATACAATGTCTGGTAAAGTCAGCAATTATCGCTTCGATTTAAAATAGATGGTTTGTACCTGTGTCAGGTAGGATTATATGCTTAATTGTAGTTTCTTTTCTATATTGAGGAGTGTCTGTCTATATGAATAAGTTCATTATGATTTTAACAGATTTGTTGATGGATATGGAAAATAATTATTCCCATTGTTTCATGGTAATTGATTTTCTAGTAGAATTTTTTGTTTCACTTCACCCGCCAATACACGGGAAAGATGATGTTTTGGCTAGCCTAAGTCTTGGGGTTCAACGACATAGAGCCCATGTAGTGTAGGCCTATAGGGTTAAACTGGAAATTTTAATTTTGTTGAATATTCATGATTTTTTAGTAGCAATGATAACAGAATTACGAGTTTGGTTGCGCATATATATGGGCCTATACTTTTGTTAGTAGTCTAATTAAAATTAGATTACAATTTCGTTTCGGTTGTTTTTCTCTTTGAATTTTACGCTGACTTTAACCAGCGTTTGAGCGAGTGTTTCAGGTGAATAGCTGTGATCAATAAGAGCGTATACTTACAAATAACAGTTATTGTTGAACTTGTTATAACTTGATAGTGCTACTAAAGTACCAAAGCCTGGACCCAGAGAAAAGAACACCTGTGCCGCTGCGTCTATCCATACCTACAACAAAACCAAAATAGAACTGTCAAAGCAATAAAACAGATGCATATATACTATTCAAAAAAAGTAGGGGATATTTGATTTTGGGGGCATAATACTAAAATATGCAAATGACTACGAAAAAGGTCACTATAGAACCTAACAGAAGAAACATTTCCAGTTACATGTGACGCCCAAACGCACCAATAGCTACCGCATGGAATGCAGGTGATGCTTGGGATCATCATGGGGGTCCAACCCAAGATTTGCACGACTCTGACTTTGAATGTTACAGTCATTGTGGCATTGAATTCCAGGGTGGAAACATCAGTTTAATTGTTTTAGTGACCAGAAAACAAATTTTGATATGCGTCGGCTTACCCAAAATGAAAGGTTACGTGCCCTTGGCATGCTACAGATCGGCACAACACAGGCGGTTGTGGCGCGGACGATGAATGTTTCTCAGTCTGTCATAAGCAGGCTATGGTCCAGATACCGTGATACACAATCTGTACAGGACAGACCACGCTCAGGTCGACCAAGGGCGACAACTCAAGCCCAGGATCGATTTATCCGTACCTTGGCCTTGAGAAATCTTGTCATCACAGCAAATCAGATCAGCGCTCGTCTTCAAACAAACACTGGTGTGAGAGTGAGTGGCCAGACGATTCGGAATCGACTACAAAGGGGTCACCTTCGCGCCCGACGTCATCGCGTGATCCCTTGTTTGAGAGATCATCACATTCAGGCAAGACGTCGTTGGTGTAGGGATCGTCAACACTGGGATAATCGACGCTGGAGCAATGTGATGTTTTCAGATGAGTCAAGGTTCACTGTTGATTTTTTGGACAGACGTTGGAGGGTGTGGCGTCGTCGAAACGAGCGCTTCCAAGACGTTAACGTCATCAGACATGATCGATTTGGGGGTGGTTCTGTTATGGTGTGGGGAGGCATCACTGTTGCTGGAAGAACGGCTTTACATGTTGTTGCAGGGCGTGTTACAGGCCAGTACTACCGGGACAACATCTTGGCAGTCCATGTTGTGCCGTTCGCACGACGTCATGGCCGCCGTTTCATCTTCCAGGATGACAACGCAAGATGTCACAGGGCCAGGATCGTTACAGGTTACCTCCAACAACAGAACATCACCACATTACCTTGGCCAGCACTGAGTCCCGACCTCTCCCCCATCGAGCATGTCTGGGACATGCTTGGACAGAGGTTACGTCAACGTCAACAACGTCCTGCCAATGTCCAAGAACTTGCTGCTGCGTTGCAACAGGAATGGGACAATCTGGACCAAAATGACCTTAGACGTCTCATTAGGAGTATGCCACGTCGGATCAATGCTTGTTTGGCAAACAGAGGAGGATTTACCCGTTACTGACTTGGTTGTGATGCTGTGGTAACTTTGCTGTTTGACCCCGGGTATCATTTTACCCTTATAATGGTCAGTCTGTGCCTTACTTAGTCTAACGATCATTTGGAATAAATCGATGAATGTGAACTTCATTTCATTTTGTCATTTGTTTCTTCGTCAGTTTCATTAGGTGACTTTAATAACACTTAAAAATCAAATATCCCCTACTTTTTTTGAATAGTATATCTCAGAAACCACCAGTCCGATCGAGCTGAAACTTTGAACTATGGCTTTTTCAAGCGCAACAATCCCGGTATACCAAGTTAAACTATCTTAACGGTTAATACGGTGTTGTTTCCCCTTGTCGTGGCAAGGAACAGTTTTTAGTCGTTCGGATGGGTCCAAAAAAATGGGCCCCGCGTACACATTGACGTGCACGTAAAAGAATCTTTGACAGAGTAGTAGGCCGTCTCGGCAAAAGTTGCCTTATAGTTCACTATATGGCGTTTGCCCGTCTTCATTAACCCAGTCGGTGCAGAACAATAATAGGACGTTAAACCCCAGTTTATCTAATAATATTGAAAAATAACAACCTTGAGTTTCGGCAACAAGTCAGGTGCACTAACCACGTTTCATTTGTTAAGGTATTTAAAAGAAACAAGCGACAGGGTCGTTAAATTAGAAAAAAAATTTAATATGGCAGATTACAGGAAATTTACCTCTATCTATAAAATGACTGGGCCAAAATTACAAGTGTAGGAGGCGAGAACAACGGTTGAGGATCGTATAATAATTATAATACCAAGACAAACTATATAAACACTTCATAAAACTTAATAGGCGTGTAGAGTAATTATCTAAATTGCTTATTTCTATGTCGTAATATATTATATCGTAAAACATGCTTGAATACATATACCCTTCATTTGTCATTAATCATTATATCGTAATATATAGTCTTGCATGCTTCTTACATTATATTAAGGCCAAACCAATGTTATTTTCAGTTCTTCAGGAATTGATAAATAAATAGTCACTTGAATCACATAAAATTTCAAAACTAAAAAATTTGAAACTGAATGCTTTTGAAGAGCGGAATCAGCTACCTTTGGTTTTCAATTTAGTCTTTTCCCCGCGAAGAAATAAGAAGGAAACATTTTACAGATCAGAAAATAAAATTGGTATGGCCTAACGTAATGGAAGTCTGTGACTTTCAGAGAGTAATCATCATTTTCTCTACGAGCACGCTTCATTAAATCCACTATGATAGATATTTCACAATATTGGGTCAATATTTCAAAATATTGTGAACGTTAAGGAGGAGGCAATCGTAGCCCCTGGTCAACGAGAACTGGCGGCGCCTACTCGTGACCTCTCTTGAACTAATGGCATTAATAAATGAATTGTATGGGGGTTAATCGAATAAGGTCATGCCCGGAGTGTATTGATAAGAAATTAAGGAATTAATTACCTCTATCATAAGAAGCCGGCTGAAGTTGGGTTTAATATAGTATAAGATACCTTTCTCGGCTCCTGGCAGTGTTACACCCCGCACTAGTAATATGAATAAAATAATAAATGGTAATGTGGCGGTAATCCAAACAGCCTGAAAAACACAAATTATACAAATCTATTTAGCTTCGACATCTGGATACAAAAGGAAGGGGGGCTACTGGGGTGGGGTGCTGGGGTGAGCGAGTGCACTTTAGATCATAAGGTCTGTCATTGAGTCATTGGATTTAGATCCCAGACTTGTACATGACAAGGCGTATGAGTCGCGTGTCTAGCCTCCTAGGTCTACTCCGGATTCTTGCCACTGAAAAAAATTCCAACGCGTCAGCGAATTATTACAATATAAATATACCATATGTTAGTCCCATAATACCATATGTTAGTCCCATAATCCAAAATGACAAAGTTTGTGTTGAGTGTATTCTCTCTCTAACACATAGTTAACAATTTTTATATGCATACTTATATATAGATACAAACTAAATACACACAGAATACACCAAAAGGTTATTTACGATGTCGTTGTTAGATCTGCGGACTGGCCGTGAGGTCTGTTTTTCGGAGAGGATAAAAAGAATTAAGACCCCTATATATAGATAATGGTAGTAAAAGTAACCTGGTATCCCAGATATTTACTACTATGATCTTAATTCCCTTTTATTATGTATTTTTGTGAAAATTAAACCGCTTTAATCCGTCAAAATATTACAGTATTGGTAAACAAAGCTGTGATATTTTGGCGGATATTACATTTCATACCATTTTTGCGTTTCACACAAATGTCTCTTTATTGTAACAGAGGGATCTGCGGGGGTTCAGCGAGTACGGCACTGGTTCGCTAACCAAGAGGCTCAGACCCGGTGTTGGTTGAGAAAGTTTCCTCTTGTCAGAGGTGCAGGGTGGAGGGCGTGGCAGGGACTGTGTCTAGTTTTTCGGATTGGCGAAAAACCGACGTAACATGTGCGCGTGTACGTAATGCTTGGTTCCCACTATCACGATTCGCGCTACGATTGAAATCGTGGTTTTAATCGTGGAGTAATCGTGGTGATCCTATCAGGTCGTATTATATATTGAGGTCAGTCGTACCAATCGTGTTGATCGTATCGAAACGTATCTGCACGTACCAGATCGGGGACTCAACAAGGACAATCCTATCGTAACCCATCACCCGGCAGTGGGAACATAGCATTAAAGAACCCTTGACGGTTGGAATTCGAAATAAAAGTGGGGTGTATCATCAATCTGGTTAAAACACAGATCCTATTTCGTTTCGTTTTTATAGTTCAAAATTTCGTTTTACTTGTCTTTACTACACTTGTAGTGTAGGCCATCGAAAGTATAAAAAACGAAACGAAATATAGATCTGTATTTTAATCAGATTGGGTGTAGCATCGTTGTATGGGCAAAATTTCCCTCAGAGTGTACTGTATGGCGTAAGCCCATCTTCATTAACCAGTCGGTGCATTTCATTTCATATTGTAACAGAGAAAACGTACAGCCATAAGTTTAGAATATTTAAACATGGTCTAGTGATTATCGACCTTGTTACTGATATTACAATATCCTAACCAAATCCTAACTTTATAGCCAGCATTAATAAAGGTGATCATTCATTTCCCTAACCATAATCAATTATTATCATGTTCCGCCTACTAACCCAGCAAATGGCTCTAATAGAAAGTCTGACTACTCCATGGTTTAAGACTAAATATTTATTATCTTCCCTTTGTAATTTACTTTTCTTAATGACGTTGTCTTGTTTGAAGTAAAATGGCACAAAAGATAGGACACGAGATAAGAGAAGACTAGAAAACAAGTAATGGAACCCGAGTCTTTAATACGTTTAAAAAAAACTAAATTTAGACCAATAAATCCCTGGTCTAGTGGAGACATCTTCCGAGAAAGGGTATTCGTCTCCTAGAAAGTGCAGAACACTTACAAACACGAATGACAAACTGTCATGAGGGAAATACGTGCTAGACACCGGTATGATAAAGGAGTAATTATTATAGAATCTGTCCTTCATAGAAATGAAATGAAATGGGGTTTAACGTCATGTTTTTCTTCACCGACTGGGCTAATAAAAACGGGGTACATCATAGAACAAAAGACAGAAAAGTGAGAATATACATATTATATAGATTAAAGTTTACGGTAGATAATATATACATACATATACTTTTTAAAAAAAAAATTAAAACTTTGATATTTGTTGTAATTGCTTGTCATGTTTGTGCATTTGTCCGCAGGCTTGTCATTTCGATTTATTTGTAAGTAGACCCCCCCCCCCCCCTCTGCACTTACTATAATTTTGAAGTTGTAAATTTTACATGCAAATCATCTTTTTAAATCTTTATGTTTTTTTCTTTCTAATTTTTCGGATGCTGTATATATTTTATGCGAAATGGCAAAGCATGTGCATACTCTAGACATAATTTGTTGTTTATTAATTGCTTGCCATGTTTGTACAGTTGTCCGCAGGCTTGTCATTTTGATTTATTTTTAGTGCACCCCTCCCCACCCCTTGAACTAACTGTTTAAGTAATTCTGAAATTGTAAATTTTACATAGGAAACGACAAATCATCTTTTAAAATCTTTATGTTTTTTTCTTTCTATTTAATACCCTAATCAGTATTAAAACCAATCTGGTTAAAACACAGATCCTATTTCGTGTCATTTTTTATAGTTCAAAATTTCGTTTTACTTCTCTTTACTACACTAGGATCTGGAAGAGTTGTTATCATTGACGTGTTCTAAATGATGTAAGCTATTAGGCAATGAAACGGTCTGTTACGGCGAGCTTTGGGCGTGTTTTGTACGGAACTGTGGGTAATCAAATGTCTGACGTCATAGGGTCAAAAGCTGCTCGTATGACCTCTGACGCGACCTATCGCTACAAACGGTCAGATCTTCGTGTAGTGCAGGCCATTGAAAGTATAAAAAAACGAAACGAAATAAAGATTTGTATTTTAATCAGAATGCATACTCGAGACATAATTGTTGTTTGTTTCTATGGTTGCTATGTACATAATTGTTGTTTGTTTCTATGGTAACTATGTACATAATTGTTCTTTGTTTCTATGGTAACTATGTACATAATTGTTCTTTGTTTCTATGGTAACTATGTACATAAAGAGTTGTTGGTATAAAGAATTATAATATATAGTTCACGATTCAAGGTTAAAAACATATAAATTAAATAATTGCGTAATTCAATTTTTTTCTTTTTTAAAAAAAAATAACACATAAAAAATTTAACCGAATGAATAATCACTTTAACATTTTATTACACTCATGGGCAAATATCGAGTTTTAAAATTTTAATTGTGGTAAGTAATTTATGCGGAAAACGTGCGGCTATTTTTGTTTGTGATTTGTATAATCACCTCTACAGTTTAAATTACGCTTTGTATGTAGCATATTTACGACTTGCAAATTTTGACATTATGTCTAGTCTAAGTCGAAGCGGTGTAACTTAATTTTTATTTATGACATATTTTTGTTCGATTTCAAACATAAAGAGTACTTAAGAATACAAAGTCGTTTATAGACGTCACCGATTTACTAAATTGATGTAGTTATCTTAAAGATGCATTATGTAAGATTTAGACAAAGAGCTGGCCATTATTGCTATAATAGATCAAAAACAGATAATGAAAAATGAATATACAGGAATGCACGAAAATATGAGTGTTTGAAGTTTTAAAAAATATATTCTCGATTGTTAAGTACCATTTGCTACGATAATGAACGATGTCTCGATTATCCAGTTTAACGTTAAATTATTATCAAATGGCGCGAGTGTTCTAATCCATTCAATATCTTGGCCATCCGATTATCTAGAGACTTAATTGTGGGCTTGGCTTGCGAATGATTGTCTAAATAACCAGTCACAAAAAAGACCTGCAATAGGCAGATTCAGCCCTTGCAAACTGCATCTTTAAACACGCCAGGTGTGCCCAAATATGATACGTTTATCACCACCTGTTGCAGGGTTGGGTGGCCGAATGGTTAACGCGTTGTATCATAAAGTCTTTCATTGAGTCAAGTGGCGTGGTTTCGATTCCCCGCTTGTACGTGCGTGAAAAGGAGTTGGATCGCCTGTCCAACCCCGTGGGTTTTCTTCAGGTTCTCCGGTTTCCTCCCACTGGTAAAGGCCCCTACGCGCAAGCGAATCATAGAAATAAAATTGAACTGGAGGGGAGGAGGGGAGGTTTCCATTCACCCCAAGGCGCAGGTGTGTAGAGCCGCTAATTGTCCTTTGTGTCAAGTGAACGTTAAAGCCCCCCTCCTCCCCCCTCTCTCTCTCTCTCTCTCTCTCTCTCTCTCCACCACCTGTTATCTTCGGACGTTGACTCACCTTACCCGAACTCTTGACTCCTTTCCATAAACAGAAATAGATGATGACAAATACACCGAGTAGATATAAACTCAACGACCATTTAATATTACCAATATCATCTATACCCGTCGATCGGTGGAACTCGAGAACTTCTCGTCTGCAAATAAACGAACAAATAATACCAACGAATTCATTGTAATTCGATTTCTCGGCAAAATCAGGTAATTTAAAAAAAGTTACCTGTCAAAATTATACACACAGAAGCAATCTGATTAAAACACAGATCTATTTCGTTTCGTTTTTATAGTTCAAAATTTTGTTTTACTTGTCTTCGCTGCACCAGGATCTGGAAATGTTGTCCAATAACCCATGGTCTGCGTGCATGGTGTGAGGGATTAGTCAATCGAATGGTCCGCTGATTCGAATTCTTGTCGTGTACCCCTCGGGACTGTGGGTGGACATTCGAAGTTGTATTTACGAAAAGCCAATTGAAACACCGACGCCCATTGATTAATCGAATGACTAACGTCGTAAGGTTAAACGTCGTTCGTATAACCCCTGACGCGACCCACTACAACCCGTCAGATCTTCATGTAATAGAGGATATCGAAAGTATAAATAAAAACGAAACGAAATACATGTATATATAATATATAATTATTTGTATTGCTACAGAAGGAAAATAAACTATATATCAATGTTACGTGATTACTATATTAGTAAATGGTAAGCGGGGGCTCAAATTTGTAATAATTTTGCAGTAATTTCAGGCAAGTACACAGGAAGTTTTGTATAGTTGTGGGACGAAATCTCAAAATCATTCAGTATGAAGTAAAACAGACTGGCAGCATACACTTCATAATAGTTTTGTTCTTATTCTTGGGACGACGCTTTTCAGAAAAAGCCTAAGACTCAGCCAATGCAAATACGCTCGACATGGAACTGTATATATGCGTGTTCTTTGGACAATTTTGCATCGACTCAAAAACTGCTGTGGTGACGTCATGGTCGGCTCCCGGTTCGCTGGCATTGTTTCACTTTCCATAACACATATTTCAGTTACTAAATGCCTATTGATATTATTGTTTTACCGGGGAGTGAGTGGCTGAATGATTTAGATCATAAAGTCTGTCACTGAGTCAAGTGGCGTGGTTTCGATTACACAGTTCACCTTTCAAAGAGTTGGGTCGCCTGCCCAACCTCGGGAGTTTTCTCCGGGTCCTCCGGTTTCCTCTCACTGCTATAAAGACCTCTACGCGCAAGCCAAGTATTGAAATAAAATTGAACCATATGTTAATCCCGAAATGACCCCCTCTCTCTCTCTCTCTCTCTCTCTCTCTCTCTCTCTCTCTCTCTCTCATTGTTTTACGTTCGCTTGTTCTTTGTGTTAAACTATATTTTTATTTGGGATCTCTACTCTTTCTATTAAATATTCTTATCTGGTAATTTGACATTCCAGTATCTTGTATCATGTCTTTTATTAAATTACCATATAGACTGAACTAACGTACTAAATTATAAAACATCTTCCCAATTAAATTTGTATACTAAACCTATGTTTATTTATTACCTATATGATGAATAATTAGTATACACAAGGACCATTATCACTCAGTCATGGCAACAACATCCATGTTGATCATCCATCAAGTCTGACCGCGACATCGTTAATGACATCATTATTATGGCACAATAAAAAAAAACATTAATTTGACCAGCATTTTCAGAATCTCATTATCTTTGACAATTATCTTTGACAATGTCGAATCTGATAGAATAAAGGGGCAGTCGGGTAATTATGAATAATATCTGATAAATCTCTGACAATCTGCCATATTAAAATGTCTAAGATATATAATGTATAGACTAAGTCTTAAAACCGACGCAGCCACTGCCTTAACCTACTAGATAAGAAAGTTGCTATTCAAAACGGTCGAACTCGCCAATTCCGATCGTTCATTTTCCGAACAATATTACTGATTAATTCACGCTAAAATATAACCAAATCGATTATTTAATATTTAGATATTTAGATATAGGTCCGCCGCCATTTAATGATAGGCCCGTTTTAAATCAAATTGAATCCAAACCGGGACATCACATCATTGGTATTTTCATTTTGTTTTCTTAATTAAATGTTAAAAAATAATCAAATTGAGTGCATACTAACATGGATTAAGTCGTGAAAAATTGACATTCTAGCAACAAATACAAATGGTACATTGTTACTTTAATTGTACTGGCCATTTTTAGTCAGGAGAAATATCTCAATATAATTTTAAATACAGTTTCCATCAAGAAATAAAGAAATTTGCATCAAACGCCCTTTCCTCCAGTGGTAACAAACACGAAACAACCCCACAATAGTCAAAACCATATCAAATTACCATTTTGTTATTTACATCGATGTAAGAGATCCACGCCCTTTAAAATGGATAAAAACCAGGATGAAAGTGAAGATGCAAATAACACCTGATTGTAAGACATCTTTTTAAACACACAATGTAAATTTATTCACCCAGTCCGTCCACCTAATAACATTACTTCCAACAAACATGGCCAATTAAATGGTCGAAAGGTGTACTTAAAATAGTAAATGTCACTGTTATGTCTGAACAAATTAAAAGATGGATGATGTCTATACATGTTTTCGTTTTGAATGAAACTTATTAGTCAGTACAGGGGGGCCTAGAGGCCCGGAACAATACAACGGCTTGCTCCCAGACCCCTTCACATGATTTGATTATGCGTTTGTTGTTTATTTTTTCCAATGTCTGTGTATATTTTGTGTGTCTTGTCCGCGGGATTGTCTTTTGTGTTTTGTTTATTGTATGTAGCGCGGTCTTCCTGCACTTGCTAATGTAAATAGAAACCCCTAACTTTTGGTGTTTTATAGAATATTTATTATATACTCATAGAGTATCTTCTCTGATTGGCATTTAGTAATTGAACATATTAACACAGGTACAATTTTATGGATACACAATTACTGAGTTTAATACTAAGCGACGTTTCAACGAGGATACTCTCGTCTTTATCAAGCAAATGATACAGAGTACTTTGGGTTAAAACACGTTCACAGAAAGAATAAGCTACAACATCTTTGATCTAATTTCTTATTCCGACGAGGCATGCTCTATCCAAATTTTGAAAGATTCCATTATGGGTAAGTGAAATTGCCTAAGATAAACACTCTTGTCGGTTCCCGTCGTCAATTAGTAAAACGTTTTTCGTTTAAATTTCAATTATCCATAATTTTGTATGAAATCATTTATATTTTGGATATAATTAGAATATGCATATCTATAACATATCTTTCATTGTCAGTTATTCTTTTCAATACTTTGACTGCTACTGACAAAATAACCTTTTTTTCGGTGATTGGCAACACCGGTTTTATCAATATTTCAATTGTTTATGAAGTGTGTAAAATTACACTATCTTTCTTTGTTAGCTACCTTTTGCAGTATGTTGGACGCTATTGGCCCAGAAACGCTCTTGTCGGTCGTTGTGGGTGATCACTAGAACCCGTTAAATATATATAGCACTTTAAAGCTTCTTGATAGTACTAGACATAATGTAGCTCTAAAGAAGACGGCCAATAATATTAATAATAATAACCATATGTCTTGATTATATATAAGATACAGCTTATAATGTTCAACTTACATGAAATATTCCTCGGCGGGGGATGTAGAAGTGTTGGTGGACGTTTGATTATCAGCTAAAGAAATACAATCCGGTGTATTCCAGGTATTGTTACAAGTCTTCCATGGTACTTCCGCTCTTAACGATGCCACAAGATAATAGAAAGCATACGCTATAACTGTATTATAATATGATCCAACAAACGTATTCACTAAACATATTCCATATCCTATTCCTATAAAACAATTAAACACAATTCAATTTGAAATTATAATCATGATACCATCAGCTAATTCCAGAAATCCGACAACCACTAAATCTGATGGCCCGTAATACTGGGTAGGTCGTTGAGTAGGGTTTCACTGTAAAATATACATTCTAATTAATACTGGTTCGAATAAATTCAGAGGGAATATTTTACAAGTATGATATTCCAGGAACCAAAAATGACATCAATTTTGGGAAAACAGACATTTTAACATATTTCAGATAACAGTTCATTTAATAATGTCAATGGAGCATTTATGTTATGGCCGAAACATTAGTTATTAGTGGTTGAAATATCCTGACAGATATGTCCGCGTCCGAAATATCTTGTCATCCACAGCTCTTTTGGGTATATGAATGGAAAAGGTGGTGGGGGGGGGGGGTCTCTGTGTACAATACCGGTATTTGTTCATCTTCAGCAAAAGATAAAGCAGTATTGAGTTCACAAATGTGCCCGGATGCAGCAACAATGGACACTGCATGATCCAAATCATAAGAAATGTATAATTACCACAAAATATTGGACAGATCTGCAACCAGATTGATATTATTCCACTTCTATGAAATTGTCCTAAAGCCAGTTCCATATAAAATAATGGTAGTCCAATAAATATTAACATGAGAAAATAGGGTATAAGAAAGGCACCTGAAATAATAAAATACAAATATAACTATAATTCATTATATTACAATTTACTAAACTCATTTTATCCTTTCAAGAATAGATATACGACCTTCATGTTAGGCAAACGCAAGAATGTCAAGAGTCTTGTACAACCTTTCTTTCAATGAAGGGGGTTCTGTGGCCGAATCGTTTAACGCCTACACACACACACCCACACACACACACGCACACACCCAAACACACACACACATACCTACAGATAGAACAACGGTGTTGGGTTAAGACAGTATATATCCTGGTGTGTTTTGATATACTGCCAGAGTTACGTCCCTTTTCCCGAAAACTTTATGTACGCGATGGAGGTTACCATTTTGATTCTCGGCATTCTAGGACTTTCTGTTCCAGATATATATTACTTGTCCGGAGATCAGATTTGTTAAAGACCTAAAGGATTCATATCAAACTTGGTCAAGTTTTCCTTTTGATAAGCTGTTGTTTATGATTATCCTGTTTTAGACAATTCTACTGCTGTGTTGGCGAATGTCTACCCTTTCCGAATGCTAAATGTCTTACATAGTTCTATTTTGTTCGTTGAGTTTTATTTTTCGATTGTTTAATCACTTCTCGATCAGTTCTCGTTCATTCATGCGCTGGTTGTAAATTATTAAGTGCCTGGTCAGGGTCAAAGATAGTATTATGCTATCGGCAGAGTCCCAGACAGAGCTCAACTTTTAAAAATATGCCTATTGCAGGTTTTTCTGTCTAGCTTCACATGTCATGTACATTATTATTTGGCCATTTATTCACAAGATAAGCCATAATCAACTCTTTAGGTCATCGGGTGGTTTAAATATTGTATGGATTAGAATCCCTTCGCCATATCACAATTTATTGTTAATTATCGTAGCAATGGTCCTTGGCAATCGAGACTATCTTGTCAAAACTTCAAACACTCATTTTCAATATATTCCATTTTCATTATCTATGTTTACGCTATTATAGCAAGAAAGACCAGCTCTTTATCAGAATCTTACATAATGCATCTTTAATGATGGCATTATGTCGATGCCAATGGAGTGACAATCCATACATATACGAACATAATGATTTCAATGATAGTAGACGACATATTATATCCATCAATGGTGCAGGACTGAGGGCCAGTCAATGACAGCTGTCTAGTCGTTCAGATGGGACGAAAAACCGATGTCCCGTGTACATATTGGCGTGCACGTAAACGATCCCTTAGCAGTTGCAATTCGATATAAGAGTAGGTCGTAGAGGCGCTGTCCGGGAAAAATTTCCCTCATAGCCCACTGCATGGCGTAAGCCCATCTTCATTAGCCCAGTCGGGGCAGAACAGTAGGACGTTAAACCCCATTACATTTCATTTCATGTATCCAATTCCCAATGAACTGAAATGAAACGAGCTTTAACGCCCTACTGCATAAACATGATTCGCAAAGAATGCGGGAAATTTTGCCTACGACCTCGGTTTTTCGAACGACAAGACCCTGTTCCTTGCCAGGTCCTCCGTCCTGCAAGACTGTTAAGGGGAGTCAACTCTGACATACCTTCTCGGTAAACACCTGGTTCGGAAGCAGGACCTTCTGGTTAGTGAGCCAGTAACTACTTTTTTTCAGTTGAATACCGATTTAAGGTAAAACTGAGGATTTTAAACTAAGTTTAAAAGGAATTATTTGAAGGAAGTACTTAGAGACTGGGGAACCTTTACGTGATGAGGGTAGGGGGTGATTAATTCCCGATGGGCACCTAAATTCTTCCTCCCGTGAAAAAATATCCAAGATCCGCTTGATTTGTGTCAGATGACCCAATTTATTTTCTCCCTGCAAAAATTTGCTAGATCTACCACCCTTGCCTGTAATAAGTTGGATTTCGCAATGTAATTATAAAGTATGCCAAACTCTCTTATGAGTGTTGTTATTATTCCCTGAAGAACATCATGTATTGTATAATTTGAAGGGTTAATGTAATGGATGAAGCAGATGTTAATATGGTTTATAAAGGTTGAAGCACCTAGCCATCATTTGCATTACTTACGGTTTAACCCACGCTAAAATGTACTCAATTGGTTTATTAAACGTTTAATTATTAAGACAATAAAATGTCAACGGTAGACAATCTTCCGGCTTAAATTCCATTTGATTAAACATACATAATGCAAGAACTAAATCTATCTATTGCAGGTCTTTGTTTAGGCCTGAAATGTTATGTAAACTATTAATTAGACATTAATTAACTTATCCAAACCATAATCAACTCTTGATGTCATCCTATGTGTCGAATTTCCACTTGTTTTGAATTGCACAATCGGATTAAATTACATATCTAGTTTATTTCGTTTCGTTTTTTTTTATTTCGTTTCGATGGCCTCCACTTTCGATGGTTGTAGTGGGAGGTCACTTCAGGGGTCACGAAAGAAGCTAATGACTCTATGACGTCAGACATTTGATTAACCAATGTTTCTAGTGGGATACCCACAGTTCTGTGCATTGTACGCTAATCCCTCACATCAACCAGAACGCGGGTTATACAACAACTCTTCCAAATCCTAGTGTACTAAAACTCAATTTTGAACTATAATAAACGAAACAAAATAGGATCTGTGTTTTAATCATATTGACTATTGGAGGTCTTTCTTTAGGCCTTTAATGTTATATGGATGAATTATTTATCAATCTGATTAATACACAGATCCAATTTCGTTTCGTTTTTATAGTTCAAAATTTCGATTTTACTTGTCTTTACTACACTTGGATCTGGAAGCGTTGTTATTTAACTCGTGTTCTGCTTGAAATGAGGGGTCAGCCAATCAAATGGTCTGTCGAATGGAGCGTTTGGCCTTTTTTGCGCGGAACTGTGGGGCAGACATTAGCGGCAATAGAAATCAAAACAAAGCAAAAGTAGATAAAAAAAACACGGCGGTCGCTAATTGGTTAATCGAATGACTGACGTAATCGAGACAAATGTCGCTTGCTTGGTACCTGGCGTCATAGAACGTGAACTCCCACTATAACTTGTTAGATCTACATGTAGTGTAGGCCATCGAAAGTATAAAAAACGAAACGAAATATAGATCTATATTTTAATTAGATTGATTATTTATTAAACATTTCTAAACTTGCCAAGGCCATAATCTACTCTCGATACCATCGGATGATCTAGATTTTCAACGGTTTAAACACAATTGGCGGTTAATGATTTAATTAAAATATGGATAATATAGACTGTGTTTACAATCGTTACAATGGTAACAATGATAATCGAGACTTCGCTATTTTCCAAACAGGCCTAACATCGCTCAGAATGAAGTAATTTGATTGAAATTTTCAATTTTTACCATTTTTATTATCTATTTTTAAACTATTATCTAAATCTTACACATCGCATCTTTAACGGGCGCTGGCTTGTTTATTTCGTCTGTACAAGGATGTCGAATTTTTAAATGATCATATCTTTGTAAATACTGAATCATGTTTAGATTGATATTGCTCTTAGAGATCCAGAGAGAAAGAGAGAGAGAGAGATGGGGTTTAACGCCCACTCGACACAATCTAGGTCATTTCAGGACTAACACATGGTTCAATTATATTTCAATAATTCGCTTGCGCGTAGGGGTCTTTAGCAGTGGGAGGAAACCAGAGGACCCGGAGAAAACCCACGAGGTTGGACAGGCGACCTTACTCCTTGTCACGTACAACCGGGGAATCGAAACCCCGCCAGTTGACTCAATGACAGACCGTATGATACAGCGCGCGCGTGCTAACCATTCGGCCATCCAACCCCCTCTTAGAGATCCAACTTTGCAATATTGTAATTGGAATGAGTATCAGCATCTTTAATAGCAGTCTATAACTCGACCTACTCTATTGGAGTGGGTGTTCTTGATATCAGGCCATTGTCTTTACAAAAAAATAATTAACAAGAACAACAGCTAGTGCTATCATTGTTTTTATTCAATCGCCATAAGCGACATCTCGTGTTGTATATCAATTTCTTTAATTCTGCTTCATTGAAATTGTGACGAGTTTCTAAAAAACACCTGACCGAATGTGTTGAAATTGTGACGAGTTTGTAAAAACACCTGGCAACAGTTAAATCTACACTATTTGACATGAAATCACAGTGAGATACGGAAAACATAATGGCCCACTGGATTCGTTTTTATTTAAAGGAGCTAAATCGCTATTCTTTGGCACATTAAAAACAGACACAAGTGGGTAGCAACGCATATAATAGTGTAATATGAATGTATATGAACTGATTTACATTCAATCGGTTTTTTTATTGTTATTTCTAATCAGCTATGTTCGGCGAAATACGTGAAGAGTTCAAATTGAATGACCGTCTTTGGCGTTTGGTTATTCCAGTCTACCCAGGTAGTATTCTCCGTTAGATATGTTAACCTCCTTCTTCGAGTCGCTTTATTACAAATGGTGCTCGAAAGCATTCTGGAACGCGATTTATGTGCCAGTTTTAAAATTTTCATTTTGTAATAAAGCACATCTTTTCACGATAAGATAACAACATCAATGTTGATATAAATTGACCAATAAGACGTGTTTGCAATGTCGAAGACTGTGGACTGTGGATGATATGCCCCCTTTAACAAGACCGGCACAAACAAAATTGTAACGGTACTGATAGAAACTGGATCATTTTTTGGATGATAAGCAGCTTTAACTCGAGCATTTTTATAGATTGCAAGGGAGTGAAACATCGATTACTTCGGGTGTTGGTATTATTGCTTCAAGGTTAAGATTAACATATGTTTAGCATGTTGTTTAAGAATTAGAAGTTCACAATTTATTTTTCCAAAGATCATGTTTTAATACAATCTGATTAAAATACAGATCTATATTTCGTTTCGTTTTTTTTATACTTTCGATGGCCTCTACTACATGAAGATCTGACAAGTTATAGCGATAGGTCACGTCATGGGTCAAAAGACCGACTTATGACCCTATGACGTCAGACATTTGATTAACCAATCAGCATTG